CATGATGTCGGCTTCACTGTTTCAACACTATTTGAAGTATGTCGCATTGTTAAAATGTTGGAATTCATCAATAAATTCAAATTAATGAGGAAAAAACAACAAATAAATAATTCTGTATAACTAAAGCAGATTGAATATGGTTTGTTTTTTATGTTTAGTAGTTTGAAGCTTACTTTTCATAATTTGTTTGTGTGCTGTTTGCTAAAATAAATCGTAAACCACTTCTGAAAATGGTAAATGGTAAATAAAGAATCAGGCTTAGTGTTCAGTTTAGGGATGATATCAAGTGCACTTGACAGAAAAGGTAAATAAAATCAAGAAGTGAGTGGGAGCAGTTCTAAATACTGCCAACAAAATAATTAAAGTAGAATCCAACATCCGTCTTGCAGAAATAATTTTGCCTCATCATCGTCTGTCTGTCTGAGCATCTGTGACCTTGAGGAGTCCCCCAGACTAACCCCTCTTCATCTTCCTCACCCAACTGCCCACCTAAGTGTAGCCACACAGAGAGTGCGGAGCTCCATCCACACTTCCACTTGAACTGAATCTGAATAGAGGAAATTCTTCCTAAGAGTCTCAGAGTTATTGTAAGTATGCAACTGAACTTGCCTTTCAAGCTCCAAGAAACACATTCCTCAATTCCCACAGAAACACGAAGCGTGGGTGCCTGTATCTGCCTGTGCGTCTATGAGTAGAAGTGTGTTATAGTATGTCAAAACGCTTCGTACAAAATAAACATAATAAATATATACCATTATGTGATGCACGTGTTTGCACCACATCTTATAAAATTGATCCAAGTAGCCTATTTACAACTCAGCCAACTCAGGAGCACCTCTCCTGCCCTCTCACTCTCTCTTAAATCTACCTGGATGCATAAACAGCTAAACAATAATCATCTGATACCCAAATAAACACACGGACTCATCCATGCCCTGTTCATTGATTTCTCCTCGTCCTCTTAACTTTCCAGACGTCAGGTACAGCCTGTAGACAGTCAGTCGTTTCACACACAGCACGATTCTGTTTCTGTCGAAATGTGATCAAACAACAAAAGCCCAACATGCATCTGTTGTGAACACTAGCGGACAGCTTACCGTCTCCATCCGGGACGTCGGGAGCGCTCTGACGGCGAATGTGCGGCTTCGGTCCTTCAAGCGGTGATCCACAGCGGCAAACGCATTACCTCAACGAGGCTTCGGATTCCCTCACAGGGCAGCCTTCATGCCTGTTCACCGCAGTAAGCACGGCAGAGGGCGCCATCGTGTGGCCGACTGGAGCACGCAGCGCAACAAGTGGAAACGAAGGGGAAAAGGACGAGCGACGTTGAAGGAAATGTGTTCGTCTCAATACGCATCAAATCAATATCTTGTTTTACATATTCTGCTTTCAAATAACCAATAAAATATTTTTAAAGTTCTGCCTTTTCACACTTTTCTTTTTGTCTGTTTACACAAACCTCTTAACTGGAATCAATTCATAATTTGAGAAAAGGAGAAAGTCCTGAAATTAAATAGTCAGAGGTAACATTTTTTATGCAATATATAAATAAATAGTTGCACCTTGTCTAAAATGTACATTTGATCCACTTTCCTCAGTTGCATTGAAAAAATATCAAAGGTTAAATTTCGGCTGGTGTGAAATAAATCGTTTTACATCATAAGAACATTTTTCGGAGAACTGTAGTCAAGAACTTCACATATCTCAGCATACAAAACTGAGCAACACCTCTGTAACAAGAGTTCCTGACAGCCATGTGAATAAGAAATAGGAATTATAAAATATGGCTCCCTCCTTACAGATTTCAGAGGTCAAAGGTTGAATTGCACAATGACTCGGTAAGGGGCATTAAGAGTCAGACGATTTATGTGCTGCCATAACTGGAAAATAGGTAGAAAAGTTTAATGGTAGAAGATGCATTCAGTGTACTTTTTCCTCTGGTTAGAAGTGTGTCAGGGTGACATCTCCAGAGGTCGAGGTGAATAGTTTTGCATACTGTTTATAGTCTGTTCAGCAATGGAACTGATGATTTCAAACTAAGCATTTCAGGAACTAAACAGAGGGCAAGTTATGTCTGTAATTAATATGAATGGAAGTTTTTGATTAACAGTTAAACATGCGGGGTGCTGAGTTTCTCCTTTACAGTAAAATGTTCAAGATCATACCATCTGTTCTGAAAAAGCACAGCCGTGCCTCCTCCACACTCAGCTGCTCCTGCATGTAAAACAACTTCTCTGCTGCCATTATTTTTCATGATAGCAGATGCTAAAAAGTGCCAAAATAAATTAATTACTACACAACATAGCGCTGAAAACAATGGGTAGGAATGGTAGAATGTTGCAAAGAATAAAAAGGCATACTGAAGGGAGACAGTTGTTGCCGCTCGTGTGTCATAAACTAAAATGAATGAATGAATGAACTAATTGAGCTCTTTGTCTCAGGTAAATAATCAGTTTATATTTTTGGTGACTGAGAGCAGCAATCTCGAAACGGTTTAATAATTTTACATATTAAATGTTTGTGCATGAAATATATTACCGTATTTTCAGGTCTATAGAGCGCACCTCACTACAAGCCGCACCCATAAAGTAAAAAAAAAAAAAAAAAAACCTGGTATCTCCGCCTCTCTCGGTTTTCCACGAGGACCGTCGTGCCTGCTGCTAGCTTGTGTTTGTTCTAAATGAAAATCAGCACTTTCTTCTTTGATTTCCAATTTTGACTTCCAATGATTCACTTCCTGCTAAAGAGCCTACCTTCCTCTGTATTCCACCTAGAGCTGCTGAAGCCTGTTTTTCATCCAACTAACAGGTGTGTGAGAACAAGTGGACACCTAAAGCATGCAGGGCAGGAGTACTTGATGATCAGAGTTGGGAACCATTGCTATCAGGAAACATGATACAAAAGACAAAAACAAACAGAGCATAAAACAAAACATGACGTTAAATATGAAAAGCAGAAGCAGTCTTGCACAACGCATGTCAGCTAGTCTCTCTATAAGCAGCAGTTGCTCAACACCTGGGGATTGCAGGTTCCCAATGAGCTCCCCCACTTCTTTTTAATGCCCCCCTGGGCAACAGCCCACATGGGCCTTATCAAAACCCACCATGCAGTGCCGAGAATCGTCACTTTTCAGTAATATCTCCTCTGAGGTTCCCAAAAAGCTGCTCATTTTGCTTGTTTAATAGGTCTAAACTGGGACCAGCATGAAGAGCAATAGTAAAGTTTATTTTTACAGCATGGGTCGAAATGAGAACCAGGCATTGAAGACAATGGGGCTGTTGTGCTGAAAAAGCATTTTGGCTCCAAAGCAGCTTTTAGTCACTAAACGGGACAATCTGAGGGCTGCCGGTGCCAGATGAACTTCTGGGCAAACATTTCTATGATGATTGTGAATTTAATTTGCATTGTGTTTGGAAATATTTTAACATTTAGGTAAGAACATCTATTTTAATCTTTTTACGCGCGAGAGATTCTAGGTTATATTAAATGCAACTTTAAAATGTCAAAAACATTCACAAATTAATTTTCTTGTTTTTCTAATGTCCAAATAATACTTCACACAAAAAGTAATTGAAGCTGTGATTAGTGAATATTAATCAGTCAAAGTAAACTCAAATATGGGCATTAAAAAGTACAAATATGCTTTAAAATGTTGCTGAAAGGCATGCATCCATGCTTTTTCCTTGCACGGGCTCCCTATTGCTGTGTTGTAATACACATTTTCTTGTTAGATTTAAGTACTGAAAGTATCATTTTAAACTGTTATCTTGAAACACTTTAATTAGTCACAACATCAGAGAAATGCAATTTCTTGGCATCTTAGAAAGATGAGATATCTGGTAACTTGATAGTATTTTTAGTTAACCACTGGGTGACAAATTTCCAACTGTTTGAATTAAATGAAATGCTGTCAGTGAAATTGTTTCATTCTTGATTAGCTTCTCTCCGGGGGATCTGTTGATAGTAATGAGAAAGATAAAATACAGCCAGCATAAGCCGTTGATCTTCTTGATGTTTTCTGTCTACAGGGAAACACACAAAAAGCAGATGAATGTAAGTGAAACAGAAACCTGACATGTGGTTAAAACAGTGCTAAAACACAATCATATCTTTTGACAAAATGACATGTCATGCATAGGCCTTCTCCGGCTTTATTGTTGTTTTTCACTTTAATGTGTAGTCAGCTGTAGATCTAACCACATTCTATAACAGAGGTACCCCGCATAGTAACTACTACAGAAAAGTACATAGTTTATACGTTACATTTATTCGTAATTTGTTTGATGTTTTGGCAATAATACAATTAGTAAATTAGATCTTTAAGCCAATTAACAGAAGTCTAGCTTTCTGTTTAATTAATAGTGCTTGAACTCTGTGTTTATTATGAACCTTGCCTATGCCACCCTGTTTTTTATATCAAGGAAAAGCCTACCTGTAAAGTCTCCTTTGTGTGACACAGAGAAGCTGTCAGGATGGCGAGACATTGATTGATCATCACCATCTTCCGCTGACTCAATGGGAGATGGCTTAGTGTACAGTATAATCTGTTTCCATCAAATCGCCAGTTCCCAGACGTCCCTGAACAGCCTTTGCAGAACTCAATCACTGCTGGAATATTGGAGAAAACAGAAGCTGTTTTGTTTGTGGTAAGAGCAGCAGTAAGAGCAGTTTCATATTGCACTTAAGAAATATATATATATATATATATATATATATATATATATATATATATATATATATATATATATATATATATAACTTCTATCTGACCTCCATCTGAGATGGAGATGAGATCTATCTGAGATTTTTTATGATAATCTTAATTGAATCCACATTTTACTTTGAAGACTGGACAAGGTTGAAGGTTGAAGTTGTACAAGTTGGAAAAGGATGCATTAAATTCACAACAGTGACTTGTGGCTTCTCGCGTTGGGTTTTGATGGAGCTCTGAAGCGGCCAATTGACAGCAAGCGTGAGGGCTGGAGTGTGGAAATCTGACTTTGGAGGAGGGACTTCCTCCGGAGCAGCAGTTGGATGGAAAGCTGCGTCTGGGCTGACACGTAACTAAAATTAAAGGTACTTCAGAGGCCTCGACCTGGACGCGAATTTTTCAACTTTAACGCAAGCTTGACGGAACTGCGTCGGAAACGTCTGAAGGAGGAAGAGGAGAGAGCGAAGCGGCCCTGAAGCGGGAAGCCTGAGACTTCTTGTTTTGCATTTCAGAACTGGGCAGAGCAGGACTTTGACTTGAAGTGAAGCGGAGAGCTGAGCGACTCCTTTGAAGTGGAGTTGACTTGGCTAAAATAATGCATGCCGAAGCAACTGCTTACACGTAAAGCGGTGCCGTTTTGTGAGTGGAAATGCTCGGGGAGTGACTGGGAGGGGTGCAAAAAGTTGAGTCGGAAGTTTCCACCAGCAGAGACGGGGCTTTCTCGCGCAGACGGCGGGGAGGGGTGCGGGTCCAACATGGGAAACGGGGTGTGCTCCCGCAGGCAGCGGCGGATCTTCCAGTGCCTGCTGCTGGTCACCGTGGTCTGCGGGATGATGTACGGGGGACTCATGTCCTATGAGATGCATAAACAGCTCAGGAGGACCGAGGCGACGGCACTGAAGTACCAACAGCACCAGGAGTCACTCTCGGCACAGCTCCAAGGTAAACACTGAACTGATTGACAAAAAAAAAAAAAAAAAAGAGGAGCGACTTCAACAACAAAACCGCAAGTTTTATCCTCTGTTATGCTCGCTGACAAATGTTTTAGCACTTAAAATGATTCATTACCATCCACGAAAGAGCATCAAAAGTGCTCTTTCAAATCTTAGAGGAAGCTTAATAAGATCCCAGTAAATCCCATTTAACCTCCTGAGATGTACAGTAAACAAATTAAGAAATATTTTCAATATATATTTTTTAAAACTTTGCACTCATAACAATTGACTGAATAATGTATGGAGTCTGATTAATAATATATTGTAGTTACATCACCTTCAGTCATTGCCATTGAGAATCAGTTTTTATACTTAATTCCACATCCTCAATGCAAGATAAATATAAACTGCAACAGGAATCAATGGTGTACTGTACTTACCCATTAGTTGAGGTCAGGGTTGACTTAAATGCCACCTCTAGTTGGAATTCAATTAAAAGCAATGCTATTGTAAGAATAGTGTCGGCTGTTTAAAAAGAGGCTGTTGTCAGTTTGGCCAAACTGGACCAGAACAGTACTGTAACCTGCCTGTCTTTTACCTCGTTTAACTTTCTAATCTCACAGGTTAATCTCCAGAATGCTTTGTTTGGTTAGACAATGTTGCTGTTTGTGCTGCGACTGTGAAAGTCACATCAAACCTGAGATAACTCAAGCTTTTTCTTTACTTGGTGCTTCACAAACACCTGGTTGTCATCATCATGTGGTCATCTGTACCCCAGCTGTGTGTCCACCAGGCAGCAGGTCATTGTGAATATCTGCTGCTGCCTCAGCTTTAGAGCAGGAAAGGAAAGCACTGTTGCTGCACTTTCCATAACACCGGTGCGGCATGAGTTTCGGGACCACTGCGTCTGGCCTCTGTACAGCCAACCAGCCACGCTGGGCACATCCTGTTAACGTTATAAACTCTAGCAAACAATTTTAGTAAGAAAAAACATCAAAGTAAGTTTTATTAGCTACATTGTCCCATTAACAACGAACAATTCTTGAGTCCAGACGCTGAAACTGTGACATGTTGTGCATCCAAAAGGTGGTATGATCATGGATTTGTAAATGTTTTGTTTCAGAGTAGAAATAATTGATCCAGACAGTTAGAGGTGCACCGATTGCAGTTTTCTGGCTGATCACCGATTAAAGACTGACCTGCCAACTACCCCTACAAACAGTCCTTTTCAAAAAGTCAGCATTGAGTCTGGTGATTTAATATCTGTATGGGTGAAGCCTTATTAGGGATGTGTGTGGAAGAAAACATTAATGCTGTTTGAAAGCAGGAGCTTTTTGGCATAAGCTTTATTTGGTTCAAAGTCCAGGGCGATGTAAGGGTCTTGATGACATTTCAGTGACATTGAATCTCGATCTCTGAGGGAGCGGGTGTTGTGTAAATTTTTGCGGTAGTCAAATGTTACAGATATTATATGGTATAATATCTGTAAAATGTGATCTGGAAATCAATTAAAGGCTCCTTATTGTTTCTTGCAAAGGTTTTCCAAGCACTTGAAGTCTTCTACATTTTGTCAGATCGTTAGTAAACAAGCAGTTTCACGAAGACCAAGAAACGCAGTAGAGAAGTCAGGGAGAATGTTGTAGAAAAGTTTAAAAAGTTGGTAAACAACATCCCAAGTTCTGGATAGTTCAATCTATCATACAAACGTAGAAAGAGTGTTAGACTACTGCAAACCTACCAAGACAAACAAGGAGAGCATGAATCAGATAAGCATCAAAGAGGCCCGTGATAACTCTGGAGAAGCTGCTGGAATCCACAAATCAGATGGGCAAATCTGTTGCTCACACACACTCCACCAACACAAATCCAAAAATATGGCCTTTATGGACAACTGGCCTGAAGAAGAAAGCTATGTATGAAGGAAAACCATAAGAATTCCCATGAATACATACATCTGCTCTGATGTGTGGAACACAGAAAACATGGAAAAAGGTGTTCTGGTCAACTGTGAACAAAACTTTCTCCTTTTAGTCTGCATGAAGAAGATCATATGTGGTGGAAAATAAACTGCACACTGAACAGACCATGACCTCAGTGGCAGCATGGTCAAAGTGGGCCACATTCTCAGACACAGAAATGTAATTTAAAGCTTTAAACATACAACCAGAGCTACATTGAAAATGGCCTGCGTCCAAACATGTCCCTGCAATACAACGGCCTAGTCAAAGTACAGACCTAAATCCAATAAGGAATGTGTTGCAAATTGAAACATTGGTATTCTCAGAGACTCTCCACCCAATCTGACTGTACTTGCTGTTCTGTGAAGAAGAATTCACAAAATATTCAGTCTATATGCAAAGCTAGTGGAGACTTGAAGCTGTAATTGCAGCAAAATGTAGTTCTTCCAAGTGCAAATCTAATCATGTGGGGGAACGTGCACACCACACTTTGCAGATTTGTAATTGTATCATTTTCATTTCACTTCACTACTACAGTGAATGTACTACTTTCTCTTCTGGTCTATCTCTATTTGTAACATGAAAAAAATGTGGAAAATATTAGAGATTAATTAAATCCTATTGTTCAGTAATTAAATAACCTTTTCAAACCACACAACTTCAGGACCAGCATTAAATGTTATGTGATTTTATTAACTTTATAGGATGGAGAGGATTTGCTGATCACTGCTGTTTTTTGTTAGTGCGCTAATCTTTCTGGAAACCCACATGCAGACAAACGTTCGGCTATTTACGAGATCATAAACTGATAAAGGGGGAGAATCTGGCTGATTTTATTTTAAATGTAATGTTTTAAATTAGCTGAAAAGCAGTGCTATTTACAAGCTTTCAGCGCTGTTATTCTGCTCTTAGCCGTTGGAAATGGCTCAGACGTAATTAGAGTTAGATGAGGAACTGTTATTTGATTAATTATAAAGATTGGCTGTACCAAACGACACCCCTAATTTAGTTACTGTAAAGAAACGGCAATAAACGGAGACTAATGTACTTGAGGTTAGAATAATAGTGGCAGAGCTGTTTTTACTTCCCCTCCTCCCCCTCCATCATCGCAGTCGGGTCAACAGTAGTAAACCTCACTCATTTACTCCCTTCTTACAAACACATTCTGCTGTGCTGACACGGGCTGGGGTTTTGTTTCATTCCAACATCTTTTTTTATTTTAAATAACTTCCTGGGTGGAGAACTGTTTACTAAATAGCTCTGTACAACGGGTTAAAGGCACGTCTGCGTTTGGGTTTCTCACACGAGCTTTGGAACCAGTCATCTCCAGTAGTCTTTAATCCATGTAACCAGAAATCATCCGTCTAAATTACCCACTGCTTTGTTCAGCAGGCTGCGCATGGAGTTGGCCTGAGGCTCCACCGTGCTCCATGTGAGACGATGTACATGCTTCTGAGTGGAGGGTTTTGTTTTACGCTTACAGGATACGGCAACGGTGTGCTTTAGTGTATGTAAAGCAGCGGCTAAGTCACTTTTCCTAGATACTTGGCGACGATTAGGATTCAGCTGATGTTGAACAGCGACAGTGAAGCAGATTTATCCCCAAACAGAATGCCAGCATTGTGGCACTCTGCGAATGCAAAGCCGTTGCTTAATTCCTTGCGGCTCAATTTCTGAACCGCACCCGGAACTTTCATTGTGAAAAGATGAGCCACCCCACCAATCGCATTGCCCGGGGGAACTCATGTCTTCTGCCAAATGTTAAAGGTTGCTTCGTCCTATATTTAGAGGAAGTGCATAGCTTGTGGGTTGTGAGGTAGCCATATCGATTTTCTGTTACCCTTTCCAACACTGGGCTGGCAATTGTTATTGATTTAAATGATTCAGCAAGCACTCTGAAAAAATGTTTCGCTTTGATTTCACATCCTCAGAGACCTCATTTGTTCATTTTTGAGCTTCAATCATATCAACAAATTAGATCAGAAGTTACTTTACAGTCATATTTCTCAAGTTTTTGCTCACAAAGTATCAAGAATTTCCAAATCCCTTTAATGTTCATATATGTACATATGGAAACATCTCAATCAATTATGCTACAATCGAGAAGTTGCTTTATTCCAGCAAGTCAGTTCAAATGTGGATCCATCACACACACGTTGATTTTTAATGCATTTATTTTGTTTGTATCGTTTATGACTTGCAACCAATTAAAACTACATTTTACCTGCAAATCCTGAAATTATCTAAAGAAAAGAAAAAACATTTCAGAGTATGATGCTATGGTTGACACAATAATGCGGAAGATTTCTCTGAAAGTTGTCCCATTCACAGTGCTGACACAGTGTTGACAGAAGGTTGTGTGGATGGAAAAACTGCGCTAGGTAACAGTTGCACCAGCAACAGGGATAACTTCAGTCTGAAAATAATTACAAAGCAAAGCCCATTCGTTGGAGATTCACCAGCTGTAGCCTGAAGGCAGTGTACAAAGACGTATCCAGGACATCGGTGAAAACCGTCCCTTTCCTTGTGGAAAGTTTCTCCTACAGCAGCAACAACATGAGAAGCATTTTACCTGAGATAAAAAGAAAAGTTGGGAACCAAACTTTAGACAAGTAGAAGGTCAGCGCAGCTGTCTACCAGAGCAGAGGTGCCTAACCTTTTTTTTTCCCCCATGGTCCTGTGGTGAGGCATAACAATAAACACAAGACGACCTCTGGGCCAGGCTGGGAGCTCGCTCTCCCACTGTCCACTCACTCCTTCATGTCAGCCGATCTGCTGCTCCTCCTGCTCCCTCTTCACAGCTCACCTTCCTACTTATCAGGCCCACCGCTGAAAACATACAAATGCTTACGGGTTTTCAAAAGAAAACTGTTCTCACAGTCTGATAACCACAAATGACAAAACGTATCGACTTTCCACCCTGCGGACCGGTACCGGTCCTGGTTTAGATAACTTTATGCATCCCTTTGCTAGAGATGCTCATTTGGGTTAACAGCAGAACTTGACAGCTGCCCACGCATCCAAAAGCACCGTCATCTGCTTTAAGGATTGTGGCATCTTCAAGATCATCGAGATACTTTTCAGTATGTGGACGTTTCTGTCCTTCCTTCATTGGTCTTGTGTGTGTGTCATCTCAGTTTCAGAAGAAATAAATTCTGGGTTTTAATTGGTCGTAGTAGTTCAAATGAAATGCATGCTTGAAATGAATCACTTGAATGAATGAGTTCAGATTTCCCTTTTTCTTATTTGGACGTTCCTGTTTCTGGGTTCAGAGGGTTACAGAAGTGCTTCGTGTGTGGGTAACAGTCACCACCGCAGGGTTAAAATAAAGCTCCCACAGGAACAGGAAATTCGACACCAAGCTGCATCACATTAGTTTTGCACAGATGTCTACTAGTACTCACAGTTACTTTGTAAATATATTTGAGATAAAGTGCAGTAAGATGTCTTGCATCTCATTCTGTTTTATACAGATTTTACAGAAGAGATAAATCAATAGTTTTTAAATCAGACCTTAAAAACGGTTAACTGTAACTTTAACTGGATTTAGGACATGTCCCTCTTGACAATGAGACATTATGTCTCAATGAGATTTACCTGAACAAATGGAAGTAAAAGTAAATGAATGACCTCGGATACATAAGCCATAATAGCAAAACAGGATGTAATCAGAACAATCAAGCCATGGACTGGAAAGAGACTCTGAAAACCCTGAGTAAAAATAACACACTGATGTAGTTTCACTGTGTTCACACACCCACACACACACACACACACACACACACACACACAAACTTTTATGTTGCATAATCTGACTGTTTGGTTTCAACGTCACATTTTTCATCATTTTGTCAACATGCAATGATGCCTGCATTTAATCACATTTTTAGACATGAATTATTATTGCAACCAAGAATGAAAAAACAGTAAAAGTAGCAATTCCAAAAATATTTGTTTGGTTTTGTAAACAAAATCACACAGCTTGTCATTGATTGGAAAATAAAAGTAATAAATAGCATTATTGCCCATCCCACCTTCTGGCCAGACAGAAAATTATTGATAAGGAAGTGAGGGATACTTGGGAACTTTCTGAAGCCTTTTCTTCAGCGTTTTCACCTCTGCCTCTGATGCAAACATAGTTTCTCTTCATAGATTTTGAGGCATTTTCTAAAGTGGAGATTTTTTCCTTAAAAGCTTTAAAAGCAACTGCAGATCTGCACAGTTGGCACCATTTAGCAAAGCTTCAAATGGACAAAAAGAACCAGCATCTGAAGCGACGGCAGCAGAAAAAAGATCGGCCTTTTCATTTGTGTTGGGGCATGCCCGATTCCAAGACCAAGGTGGATTTTTCATTATCCAAACTATAATAAAAGATTTTATTTAGTCAAAAGAACTTTATCCTATTTATTTAAGGTTTATTACGTTTATGATCACTCAGCTTGAATTAAGCTTAAAGATCCTTTTAGGCATGAGTATGGCAGTAAATAAGAAGTGGAAACATAAAAACCAGCAGGTCTCTTCCCTGATGGGGTTTATTGGATTGTTGGAGCTGCAGCTTTTAAAAGCAGTCTATAAAAACCAGTTGAGCTCAAATGAGGTCAGATTTGTTTATTTCCTTTTGTTTTTAAATAGATGTGTTTTTCAGATTGCTTCAGAAACTTACAACATATAATAATGTATTGAAACTAAAACTAAGGCCAATTTAAAAAAGCAACGTGTAAGTTAAAAGAGAAGACTTTAAGATCTTATTCCATGAATAATAGATGTTGAGCAGTGGTATGTTTGGTTTAGAAAGCCATTAGGCAGCAGTTGTGTATTCGGTCTTAATGGTGGGCTGTGTGCACGTGCGTGTGTGTGCGTGCGTGTGTGTGCACGTGCGTGTGTGTGCGTGCGTGTGTGTGTGGAAAACCTACAGATTTACCAGATACTCAACCTCCCTTTTAACACTATGGGCCAAATACAATCAATATAATCTTTTCCATATCTAAAGCAGCAGGTCAGCAAAGGTCCACCGCTACAGAGAGCCCTGTTGTTCTCACACTGCAGGTACACTGAAGCAGCAGTGTGAGGAGCAAGTTTCACTTGTCTGAGGGGAAAAGGCTCGGAGAATGTAGACCGGATTAGTTTCGTAGTCGGAGCTGCAGTAGATCTCTCAACCCTTCAGCACTGAAAGCAGAACCACATCAGAGCGGTGCAGTGTGAACTTTTCATTGAAACTGAAATTGATGAGTGCATCGCATCGACTCACTAAGGAATCATAAAATGGTCTTGAAAAATCAGAGATGTTTCAACAATATGCCTCTTTTTCCGGATCTGGATCTGCATACAGCTACATAAACTGAGTCGGCTAAGTTTGCGGTTCCTCAGAGTCACTCTGCTTCTATTGCAAATAATTTTAATTATTATGCTGTCACATTTATAAATGAGATGGTTTTCTGGTTTCTCTGTTCAAACATGTTCCTCATCTTTGTTTCAACTCCTACTATTCTTTTCATAAATGTTACATTTATCGCTACAAGCAATATATTTTGTTTCTTTTTTTGCATCTTAGAAGCATTCCTCTATTAAACTCATCGTCTTTACTAATTCTATTTCTGTAGCTTATAACAGCCTCCATTTTTTCAGTCATTATTTATTTATCAATGTATTCCCTAAAACATATGATTGCACTTCAGGTTTCATTCAAATAAGTTAACACATCTTCTATGGGGGGCGGGGAATCCCCCATAATCTTCAAGCTGAGTTATTGGCAGGCTCTCCCACAACCACAAAAACATGTGGAAGTTATAATAGAAATTTTAATTTCATCATGAGAGGTTATTTGAAAAAGATGATCTGTATAAAAGACGTTTCATCATTGTGATTTTCACAGGTTTTGTATGTTGTCTGGAAAGATGCTGGCTAAAGTTAGGTCCAGTGTTCAATAAATTATTAGAAGAAATTGTGAGTTCTTAAGATTTCATTGGTGCAGACCATTTTGATGTACATGCATGTAACCAAAGAATAATACAAACAAAGACGGACTTTATTTTCTCTGACTTGAGTCTCAACAAACTCTGTTGAAACTTATGAACCATAAAATGGTTCCTACTGAAACCGTCACCCTGCCTCAAATTAATTGAAGGCCTGATCTTCCCGATGATCCTGGTGATCTGTCTTAACAGTGTGGGTCGATAATTCTTTATAAAAAAGTTTTTTTCTAAATAAAACTGATGTCTTTAATTCTGGATTGATTCCTACCTCTATTCTAATTTAGCAGCAGTGTTTTTGGAAAGATATAATTCTTAATGCGGTCGGTGTATTTTATTGTTGCCCAGGCAGGAGGTTTCCTCTTTGTTTTTAAATTAAAAAGGTCACAACTACATTTTTTTTTTACTGTAATGGTTAAACAATAAAACAAGTTTAATTGCATTTAATTAGAAAAACTAGTTATCTGTTTCCCTTGAAGAGTCTGTGGATTTAGACACGATTCATTTTGTACTCGGTTCAGATTTATTCGAGGTGGATCACTAAATAACAAAGCAAAAAGCTACATTGAAATACCAGGTTTATTTACCAAATAGTTCAGTTTCTTTCAGAAAATTGTCAGAGAGTAACAGACTTCATGAAGCCTTTACTGTTGTGTAGACTGTGGCCATCAGCTACAATGTAGTAGCTGCTCCTCAGAGACAGCTGTCGCTGCCCGGTTAGGTAAATATGACGCCTGGCTGTCATGTCACCCATAAAGCTCACACCCTGCTTCTGTCGGCCCCACTGAAACAAATGCTCAGGTGTGTTAGAGCACGTAGGTTTGTCACGGTGTTCAGATTTAGATTGTAGCTCCGTTTGATTTCTCTTCCACCGGGATCTTCCTTTTATGCTTTATCCTAATATTGTTTTCATTTAATACCTAGTGGTGTATGAGCATCGATCAAGGCTGGAGAAGTCTCTTCAGAAGGAGAGGTTAGAGCACAAAAAGGCCAAAGAAGGTGATATAGACATTTGCTTCTTTATCACTATTTTTAATAAAAGCAGTTTACATTAACTCATATATTTTTTCCCCCTTAGATTATCTTGTTTATAAACTTGAAGCGGAGCAATCTCTGAACAAAGAGAAGGTGGGTTTCTCTTCCTTCCCTCTTCAGACTGTTGCTTCCCATTCTCTGCTCTTCATTGCTAACATTTTGAACTGTAACGCTGTATGTGGAAAACAGAAGATGTCGTAATCTGTCTTCTTGTGTTTTAAATAGCAGGATGCCAACAGCAGACTCAACTCCTTACAGGTGCAGCATCAGATGCTAAAGGTTAGAATGATCACACGGACGCCCTCTGATTCACCCTGCTGGGTGCTTTCCCGTGTTTTCTTCCTACTTTCAAAACAGACATTTGCATGCTTTACCCAGACGTTTTTCCTGTTGCGCAAGTATGCAAATGGTCCTACATTTTTGTATCACTTGTCCCATTTCCTCTGATTTTCATGTGCAATCAGTGGATTTGTGGCTTAGGGAAGCCGCACGGTGACGAAAGTCTTTTATTTCTGTCAGAATCAGCATGACGAGCTGAAGAGGCAGTACTACGAGCTAAACGAGCAGCACCAAGCGCAAGGCGAGGACCACGGCCGGCTGCTGGACGAACACAGAGATCGCTACAATAAACTGCAGCAAGCCAAAGAGGTGGAGGTCTCCCAACTTAAAGGTAGTGATGGTTTCATGTGACTAGAAATACCACAGAGCGATGGTTTCTCACGTGAAAAAGTTTCAAACAAGAATCTGGAACATAATCTAACTGGTTAAATTTGAAAAAACAGCAATTATTTCTGCTGATTCTAGATTATATTGTAGATGTGATGTCATATTAACATTTATTTAAAGTTATTTCAATAAATAAACTTAGGCCTTAATATTGAATAAACACAAAATACATGCTATAGTAATTTTCAAGTGAACATCTTATGTTATTTATTGAGTTGTTTGTAAAAAAAAAAAAAAAGAAAACATTTATTTGGCATTTATAACAAGGTAAAATTTGTATAGAGAAAGAGGGAAAAAAGTTCAATGCAAAGCAGGTGAATTTTACAAAGATAAATAAATAATTTTGCTCCCAATTAGTTTGTTCCTAGTTATATGACTTTTGTCTTCATGAAATTTTAAATAATTTCTCATTGGACAGTATAAAGCTAAGTAATGTGTGAATCCCTTAGTTCCTGACTTTAGTGAGATCTCAGAAAGTTTTTACACCAAAGCATCACTTACATGATGAGACTAACTGAATATGGCACACTGTCAAATTTCCTCTATAGCAGAGTGAGATATTTAACTACAGGATTTTCAGTTTAAAATCTTGCTATTACATTTTGCTTTAAATAACGCCAGAAGTCACAGTAGAAGCGTCGGTCAAGTCAGTTTTGTAAGTTGAGAACGACAGCATTTTATGTGACACCACTCATCCTTTATCACAGAATCTCACATTTCCCATACATGCTTCTAATTTTACCTAGCAATTTTACACCCAGTTCATTGACATAAGCAGTAAGAGATCTCTTTATGTCTATGTATAGAAAGGTAATGTGCGTACTGTTTCTGACAGAGCATGTTTATAACCTGAGGGAAGAAAATAAACAACTGAGGAAAGCCCACCATGAGATTCACACCCAGCTACAGGATGCCCAGGTGAGGAGGACCCAGCGGTTTGTCTTTAAGACTCTAATTACACAATAAGTAAATATCTCGCCTGGCTGTCAGCATTTTCTCTTGCACTAAAAAATATGCTGACATGACTGCAGAGTCCGCCTGGCTCTAAATGCATCGGTTCTGCTCTGTGTTCAGCTCAAGCATCAGAACCTGAAGGCGGTCCACGACCAGCTTGCACTGACCCTAGAGGACCACAAGAGTGCGCTGGCTGTAGCTCAGGTGGGAAAGCTGTGATACATTCCTGTTGTTTACTGCAGTCGCATAACAGACTAACACTGAGGATATGTTCTTATCCATGTGTCCTGAAGCTGCGCCATGTAAGCTCCAGGGAAAGGTTCTCATGATGACTTTAATTGATTTAGCTTCATCTAGTTCCACTAATATGTCCTTGAAGCTTCGTTGTTTTTTTTTTTTCTAGAAAACATACAAGGTAAATTATTCTGTATTATATTGGACCTGTAAGGATGGATATTCAAAAACCCTCCCCTTTTTTTTTTTTTTTTTTTTTTCTTGCTGCTCTTCCTGCCCGTTAGGATTCGTTAATCGATTTTATGGCTCTCCATTAGTGCTTCTGGTTGAACACATCCTCTCCGCTGCAGGGCGTTTGGGTCAAAACGGTTAATCTAAAACGTGCTGAAGCCAATCGGATGGAGATCTGTAATAAAACGATGAGGGGGAATGAAACAATGGGGCAGAAATTAAGGAATTAAAGATGGCTTTTTGGATTTAATCTCACTGTTCTGGTCAAGCGTATGCATGTGTGTTTTCAAAAGGAGAGCACTCTATTTTAACCTCAAAATGATAGTGTTACCTTTTCATAAAAGGAAGTTAACTAAAAATATTTCACGGTTTTTTAGTGCTCATTATGCAAATGAAGTGGATATTGAGTTGGAGGCACATGCAGTGTCTTTTAGCTGCATATAAATGACAACTTGGCATTTCCTTGTAAATTCTGGGTCGTGATTTTGTTTAAAACTAAATACTACATGGAAAAAAGTTATGCATGATTCTGTATCACTTATCAAGAGGAAAAAAGTGAGAAGAATAAACTACTATATTGCCAGAGTAGTTATTTAATTGATGAAAGGCAAAGTTCGTATTTAGAACACAATATATTTTTTTGCAGAGCCCTGAATTTCATGTAGTAATAAATTTCTAGCCAAAAACACTGTGTTGAATTTTGTTACACTTTTAGTCAGCTCTTATGTTGTCATTGCAGTGAATGACACAAAAAAAACCCCCCAAAAAAATCAGTGAATTATAAATTAGAAGGTCTAAAGTCATTTTTACTCAGTAGAAGTAAAAAATTATGAGGTACATTTTTGATATCCATTTTTATGAAGCTTTATCTGAATTGAATTAGGATTTCTCCTTCAGAATTTTAGTATGAGACTAAAATATTTATTATTATTACTTTTTGATTCCAGGAGTGAAGGCCGTATTCTGTGTGAGAACGAGCTTGTGCTACAAAACAAGGGTTTGTGCTCGTAAAACAAATGCGCAATGTTGACAGTGTTGAGCTTTTCACCTTTCTTTTGGATCTTAGTGGTTAGCAGTGGTTAGCGCCTTTAGCATTACCAAAGTATCTATATGTCTATATTCCAGAGAATGGAACCATCTTGTTTCAGACAAGCATTGTAAAATGCTATGAAGGATAAAACGGATAACCTTTTCAGCCTTCTTGTTATCTGCTGAATGTGTCTGAAACTTAAGCGATTATTAATCAAGGCGACTGTTGGACGCTGATTACTGACCTGTTTCTGGATTATAATTATTTTTTTTTTAATAGTTGCACAGTTTTCTAATATCTCAGCTTTTCTTCTGTTAATGTTTTGTCTCTTTAGGCCCAGGTGGATGAATACAAGCAGCTCAAAGAGACTTTGAACCGGGAACCAAACCGGGCACAACCCGATCCAAACTCTATTGCTCAGCAGCTGCATGCAGCCACAGTAACAGCCGAGTCCCATGTTCACCAATCCCAGCAGGCTGCTAAAGAGACGCGCGCTCAGGGAGAACAGCGCCCCCACTGGGACACAGAGTCAATGGTAATGAGGGAATTCTCATTTGATGAATAAAGCTCTGAATGTACAAATCCTCTTCATTAACTTCCTGCTGCTTCCCTTTAAGCTGGATAATCAGGAAGAGAAGGAGGCCAACGCCCAGTCTGAGGTCAATTCCCACCCTGCTATGTCCCAGCCCGGCCTGTCTGAGAGGGATGAGGACAGAGAGGGAGAGGCTGAGAGGAAGAGGGAGCTGGCAGAGGAGGAGATGGCTCAAGCAGGACAGCCTCAGAAGCTGGAGGAGGACCTGGACCAGGCGCATGACGAGCAGATGGAGGAGGAGGAGGAGAGGGAGGAAGAGCAGCCTGATGAGAACGCGTTGGACAGACAGAGACGGCAGCCACAGCTGGTAGGAACCAGGACACGCTCAGCAGAGTTCACAGCTACTCTCAATTAAAGGACTGGCCACATTTTTTACTTTCCAAAGTTATTGATTTTAGAAACGATTAATGGGATTAATCAATTGTTGAAATAATCGTCAACTAATTTAATAATTAATCAATTGTTAATTGGAGTAAACGGAATCAAAAAGAGGCCATTTGCTGAAGGGACAACATACTCAGAGCAGAAGTTAAGGCTGAAAGATTAAGATGAAAATAAAATACATTTGTCTGTAGATCTGTTTTAATCAGAACTCCTGAGGTGACATAGTTTTATCTCTATCCGGTTCAAAATCTGGGAAAAATAAATAAATAAATGTTTTTTTACTGGATTGTAAAAAATTAGATTTTTTTTTTTTTTTTTTACAATCCAGTTATTAATTGGTTAATCCAAATAATCTCTGCACTGAACTGACGTGACGTCAAGCAGAAAAGGCTCAGCTTTTCACTTGTTCTCTTAAAAGAAATTGTATGCTGTAGCATTTTTGACAATAAAAATTTATTTTCCTATTTGAAAAAGGAACTGAATTATTTGCTCATTTGCATATTTTAATGCATCACCAATATTATATAAAAAGGCTTAAGTGCTTGAATAAAATCTGCAGAATGTGCTTTTTTTTTAAATCCAATTAATCATCAGAATAATTAATTACTAAAATAATCATCAGTTGTAGCCCTTGTATTGAGATGCCAACACAGAGTATTCTGTAATGTGAAGTGGAGTGGAATAATTCAACAGACCAACACTAGGCATGACTGAATATAAGATCACCATGGGTGAAACATGGTAGTGGCAATATCATGCTGTGGGATGCTGTTATTTATGACAGATAGAAAAAGTACAACTTGTCAGAGGTTTGAAACTGGAATAGAGGTTCCCTTCCAACGAGACAACAACCCTAAATCAAAAACATTTGTCACCTAAAATCTCCTAAAAATACTTTGAAATATGTCATAAAATAAAAAAAGGGCAACAGGTACGTGTGTATATCTTTCGGCAGAGACTGTGTAGAGTGTGCCAAGTCACAAAAAAGGACAAAGTAATGCATGTGTGCAATTCAGACAGATGGATGACTCACGTCTGCTTTTCCGTTTCGTTGTGGCTTCTTAGGACAACCATGCAGAGCTGCACCAGGGGGGCCAGCTGCAGCAGCAGCAGCAGGCGCCAGCTCAGGTGTACCACCTGAAGTCGGCCTACGAGCAGCAGCAGGAGCAGCGGCGCCTGGAGACCCTGCGGGACAACGAGCGCAGGCAGATCCAGATGCGACAGGAAGCGCTTCAGGCGCAGCGAGAGAAGGTGCTGAAGGAGAGGGAGCAGCGGCTGAAGGAGGAGAAGGAGCGAGAGGAGCAGCAGAACAGGGAGGCTGACAGAAAAGAACAGCTGCTGAGAGAGGAGCACCAGAGGTCAGGTTCAATGCCGAGCCTCGAAGTTTCATAAAGAGGCACACACGCTTTAAATCGTTTTACTCTCGTTCAGTAAACTGATAGTACAGCGAGTTATTGTTCAGAGTTGGAGAAATGTGTTTTTAAGACGAGGCGCGATGAGGTACGACACGCATCCAGGTTGGATCTCTAAAAAAAAAAAAAAGGGTTGTCATGTGGAAAAGTATGGAAGTTGATGTATGTTCCACAACTCCATAAGTTTGAGGAAAGAAAATAAGGATTTGAAAAATATTTGTTTATCCCAACTTTTATTTCCTATCCCAATGTCTAATTGTTGTGTCCATCTTCTCTCTCTTCCCTCCCACTCTCCCTGTCTTTCCTTCCTTATTTGTGTTATAATCTTCCGCAAATCCACAGTGAATGTTCAGATATTCGAAAACAAACCGTAAAGTTGAGTCTCAGTCTGCAACTGCAGTTATGACGTGACATTATAAACGGTTCAGTTTCTATGTTTTGATTGTTGCGTTTACGGGGTAACTTTGTAAAGGGGGGATGTCTTTTCTAAATGTCGATCATTGTTGCTATGTTAGGAAAAGACTGGAGTACGAGAACATGAATGAAGACGTTCCAAGAGAAGAGGACCGTCGCACTGCTAACGAAGGAGGTGAGACAAGAAAAGCTTACACCTGGGACAAATCCTGTTTTCATCCTTAATATATATTTTGAGTATAATTGTCATCTTTAGATACAAAAGTCATCGAGAACGCCACTGCATAATCCCTCAATAAATGAATATATCTGGTGAACATGTGTGAGGCATTCGTTACCTTTTTCTTTCAAAACTCAGTTTTGACCACCTTTAGCTGTGTTAAATCAGAGATTCAGTCAACATAATTAAACTAGAGGTTAATGTTATTTACATGCAGTGTGTTATTTAATATCAGCGAGTGCCTCTGCTGTTGGTTCTGCGTTTCTGTTGTCTACTCAGCTTCGTGCTGCTTGTTGCAGCTTGTTATCTCTAGTGACCCTCTTTGCACCTGCATACCCAGCATGTCTGTCTGCTTCACTGCATAAGAAAAAAAAGCCATACCTCCAGAGTGAAAAGGAGTCATACAGAGCAGATTTACAAAATAAGGATAAGTTGATACAGAGAGGAAGACTGGGGGTGGGTGCAGAGCTGAACTGCCAGCAGACAATCTTAGATCCCAAAATACCCAATAAAAGAGAGTTAGAAATTTTCTCATTCGTTTTTATGCATAAATTATTTGTATGAGGAAATGATCATTACATCACAGTACAAATCCAGAATGAAATGATTTCTGTGTTATGTCTTTAAAAGCACCTACATCTTGTTTACACTCTGTTGGCAGAGAGAGACGTTCACATGTTGCATGAAGAGGAACAGGAGGAGAAACGACCAGCTCACATGGCACCCCCACATCAGGTGACTGTCATATCTGCAAAAATCTGAAGTCGATCACTCGCTTCTACATCTTTCCTTTCCCTACCTAATAAAAACGTGACTTTTGACATGCAGCATTTGTCTGATTTGGTTTTTTTTATTATTATTATTTCACTCCATATTTAAAACACTGAGTCTTTACTATAACTGATTTGATTCTCCTTCGGAGGGCGGCGTGGACGGTGAGGTAGATCCTGAAGACGACCCCAACAACCAGGGGGAGGATGAGTTTGAGGAGGCTGAGGACGAGCACCCGGCACACAGGGCTGCTGAGGAGGAGGAAGAGGGGGAGGAAGAGGAGCCAGCCGCTCCTGGCCAGCACATAGACTCTCATCCGGGCCCCGGCCGACCTGCTATGGAGGAGGAGCTGGTGGTGAGTACAGGAACATGGATGATGTGAGGAGGACAACGGATCCGCGCCTGGGGAAAAGATTGGGATAGAATTGTTTTTATTTTGTGCTTCCAGATGGCTGGAAACCCAGATCAACAGGAGGATGCACTGGATGATCAATACCAGGAAGAGGACGAGGTAACGCGGGCTCACAGCACAGCTCTACAACATGTGAATACATAAAAAGAAAAAGTAGAAAACTTGACTTGGGTCTGTTTCAAACTAAACACCATTTACAGGAATTTGGTCAAACTTTAAATATATTTCTTAACGAAAAACATTTACTAAGTAATTTTCGCTTAAGGCCCAGGAGGATGTAGCTGGTGGAGAGAAAAGGCAGGAAGAGGGAGTTGAAGAGGAAGGGGAAGATCCATATAATGAGAACACGGAACAGGTGAGTTTTGTAGAGAAAGAGCTGAAAGTTGATCTTTATTCCCAAACAGCGCAGTGATAAAAAACAAAAAAAATAAAATAAATAACAGAAAACTATATTTCTCCCTTGCTGCAAAAGATAATGCATTATAATGTAACGGTGAGCTTTGCAGATTCTTTATTCCTCCATTGCTATCCTGCAACTATTGTGCACCTTTGAATGCATTTCAACTACATGTTGGATGTTTCCAATTCTTTGCAGTGTTGAGGTCTCCTTGTGCAATACATGATTATTTTAAATACTTTTTTTTTTTTTACACACATTTATCAGGAGTGCATGTAAACCTGCCCTAGTTTGTATACAATAGCAGCTGAAGAATTAGCTGGTGTTCAGCTATGTGTGTACACGTCTTTGTTGTGTGACTGACTGTAAGTTGAACCCAGGCCCTTGTGAGTTCTGGTAAATGAGGTCAGTCAGGTGCTGCTGGGTTTGTCAGGGTGTCAGGTTTTCACCTGGGCTTGGATTGTCCGTTGAAAGGAAACTTAAGTGAATGGAGTCTTGGTCAGATGTTGTCAGAAACTGTCATATCTGGAGTTTTTAGACTGCTTTCATAACGTTAAAGTGTCAGTAAAAAAGACATTTTAGTCCATTTGACTCCTTATCCTGGAGCTAAAGTAGCAATGTTTTATTCCATTGTTTGTGGCCATTGCAGTCTGCACAGTCAGGTTTATGTTTCACTGCTAAATAGAATAATTTACATATTAGTAGCCTGAGCGTGGCAGTTTTTGGATTTCCAGTGTCACTGCAGTTTTAATTCTCAGCTTCAAGTTAACTACCCTGAACCTTTAAAACAATCATTAATAAATCAAAAATACAATGTTTAAGTGACTCTGTTCTTTTTGTCTGTGCTTGTTATGTGGACCAGAACGATGCAAAAAACCAGGATGGGCCCAGAAAGAAACAGAACCACCAGAACGGAGCACACGAGGAAGAAAACTACGAGGAGGAAGAGGAGGAGGTGGAGGAGGACGCAGCCGGTCAAGATAAGGGAACCAATCGAAGAGCAGAAATGTAGGCTGAGCAGCTGCGGCGCATTTTGTGCTGCTAGTACAGCCAGTCAGGAATTAAAACCAGCCATCCATTCAGAATTTTGCTGCAGAAAATCTGAAAATTGTGCCAGGAACATAGGAATCCAAACACTGAACACTGTGGACACAACTTTTAACGCTAAATTGCATATATGATTGTGTATTTTTTTTATTTTTATGTTTTTTTTACCTTTATCTGCTTTTCTGTTTCCTTGCTCCTCTGGATAAGAGAATGTATTTTTTATCTTTATGCTGAGTTTAAGGGAAAAAAACAAAAATATAATTTTAATACTGTCAGACCCCTTTTGTATGTTTTTTTTTTTTTTGCAGACAGTTGTATTTTTGCTAAGCTTAGATGTTCATTTACATCATACATTCCAATGAGTAATGACATTTTATTATTTATTGCTGGAGGTAACAACTCTGACAATCATTAAATGGTGCAACATTTTAAACATTCATCTTCTGCTGGAGGAAGATTGACATTTAGGCTTTAACCAGCTTCCAGCAGGGTGACTCGCAGGGGCATTTTCTCTGGATTTTCCTGTAAAATTGCCACTCAAAGAGACATTTGTGGGAAAGCCGCTAAGTGCTGAGTGTCACACTGACATGTGCCTTCCCGTTCGTGGAATCCTCTCGTCTATCCTAGCCGTTTTAGGAAATAATTTTAATGTAAAAGAAGAGATGTGAGAATACCGTGTGAGCTGAGGTTTATGTCCAGTCAGCTGCTGGTGTGAATAAAATTCACCGTGTACAGAGAACCTTTTTGTAAATTTGTACACCTGTTATATTTGATACAAAACAAAGGGATTTTTGATAGTATTAACGCCTTGTCATCTTGATGGAGTGTGGAATAAAGAGGTTAAAAGTTCTAAGTTTTGGATAAGTCTCAAACATTTAAAATTTAAATCTTTCCGATTGTCTTTCATGCACAGATTTTTTTTATGTGAATCTGTAAGGTAATTTCCTGTGTTAAACTAACACAGCGCTCAAATTACTATTCAGTTAGGAATAATTATAAAAACAAAATGTTTTTTTATTGCCAAATTACTGCCTCCATTAAACAAGTAAATGGAATTTGTTTCACAGTATGAATATGTTTGGGGCAGAATACTTGGCTTATAAAAGAGTGCAGCCGGCTTCCAGTTTAATTTATATTTATACTTTTTATAAACATTTATCATCCACAAACATTCTTAATCAAATTGTCTCTTCTTTGCCCGTGCCGTCCCTACGGATCAATTTTTTCTCCACCACGTAGCTTCTTGTTTTGCTCTCGTTTCCTCTTCCTTCTGTCACAGCTATGAGACAGCTGATTTCTCTTTTCTCCCCAACGGGGACAGGAGGATGGAGAAGCAGTGCGACGTTAACAGGTGTCTCATTACTGTGCTAATATCTAGCCATGGGGACGTGTACACACAAGTGTGTTTTTGACAGTGACAAGATACGGCAGAGATAGCGAGTCCTCCACCGCTCTTCACATTCCTCCGTGTTTCTCAGTTATTTCATGGATGAATTACCAGGAGTGGATAAATTGAACATGCTGATAGCCTGGAGCCAAACTCTTATCTTGAGACCGATGCCCGCATGATTCCCGCCAGTTATCAGAGCTAATACAGCTACAAGGTTTACTGTAAAGCCGAAGCTTTGCATCCAGTGATGGGGAAATGGCTCCGACTGTATCCTGCTTCCACAGACCAGCTGCTCTCCTTGACCTGGATCCTGTTTGCAGCGTAAACATCCAGTGAGCTCATTATCCCGTCCTTCTGCAGCATCCCTCACTCATCAGCTGGAGACTTAGCTTGTTTCGCTGAACACCCGAATGCACAAACAATTTTTCGCACTTAAACAAGTCCTAATGAGGCATGTAACTGCTACTTTGTGCAGGGCTGTATGTGCTTGTTGGAGCGCTATTTCTGCCTAAATTGTGTTTTTTTTTTTCTGAATTAGGCCAAAAGCTAAGGACTCTGAACTGTTTGTGTGAATGTGTGCTCATTTTGAATGTTTATGGGTCATGGCAGCTATTCATATTCACACATAACCAAGTTTGCGGGAAAGGAACACCTTAAAAGTAAAACTTATCAAAGCGAGGATTGCTGCTGTGTATAAAAGTGTCAGCGGGAGATGGGGAACCTCGTCAATCCATTTTTTAACAGATATATAAAGAAAACTTAAGCTATCTTTTTTTTCAGACCATCAGATGAAGAAGCAGATGATGACTCACAATCAAAAGAACAAACTACAGAACGTGACGTAATCCTCAGAAAAACACCTTTTATAAAACTGAACAGAAATCACATGACAGTAACTCTCAACAACGTAAGATCACAGTAAAAACTGCACACCATCGTGTCTATGACAAGAAGAATTATTGTCTTTACTGTGGAAAGCCTTTCGCAAAAATCACAAGACGTCTGAAGCAGAAGCATTCAGACCAACCTGATGTGGCCAAGGCACTCGCATACAGGAAAGGGTCCAAAATGCACTCCTTGCTTTTGATCAAAGTAGCAAACATGGGGAACTATCAACACAACTGTTCTGTCCTGTCCTCTGGGGAAGGACAAATCATCCCGAAAAGGCAAGCAGCATGTGAGGTAGCTGCAACGGACTACCTGCCTTTCAAGTTTTGCTATGGTATCTATGTCAAGACAGAACTCTGGAGACACCTCAAGCGTTGCAAACTCCAACTGAAAGAAGCTACTATGGAGAACAGAAGAGTTCAGACAAGTTCTTCCATGATGTTACCCATGAATATTGTGATTTCCACTGGACTTAAAACGGTTCTCCAGGAAATGACGTATGACAATATCACGCTGTTAGTAAGGGCCGACTCCCTTATTATGTCTCTGGGTGAGAGAATGTTCCTCGAAAATGGAGAAGTTGGACGCCATTGAGCAGACATCAGAAATAAAATGAGAGAACTTGTCAGACTTGTTCTTGTTGCAAGAGAGATTGACAAGGATGTGGTCTTTTTGAAGGACTTGATCTGCCCAAGAAAATTCAACACTGTCCCTGAGGCTGTAAAACAGATGACTAGGTTTAATGAGTTATCCAACAAATTCGCAGTGCCCTCAACAGCACTGAATCTGGGTCATTCTTTTGTGAAAGTGTCATACATTTTGCAAGGAGAGGCGCTGCGTCAAGGGGATCTTGATTTAAGTTCAAAAGCAGAGGATTTTGTCAAGTTAATTGAACTGGATTGGTCAACATATGTGTCATAAAATGCACAGAAAACTCTTCTGTTTACTCATATAAAGTTGTAAGTGTTGGCAGTCTATGTAAACCTATCATCAAGATTCTGAATTTAAAATGTGAGCCTGATGGAGGTTTCTTCCTGTTAAAAGGGAGTTTTTCCTTCCCACTGTTGGCAGTGTGCTTGTATGGGAGACTGCAATAAAGTGAAGATTCAACACATTCTGCTGGGTTTTTTTAAGATTGATGCCTCTTACTGATCAGCTTTTATGTACAGAGCCATCAGAAAACATTCGTTGCAATGTGACACTGTACAAATAAACTGAATTGAATTGCTGTAGCTAGCTAAGCTAAGCTAATGCCTTCACTGTCATGTCCTGATTTTTTAAAACTCATTTTATTTTTGTTTTAGCTTAATCATAAGTAACTCGTGTATACATGCCAAATGTTCTGATTTTGGGAACTTCTTTCTTGAGTTTTACTGGAATCCAAAGCTGGATAAATGTTTAACAAAACATCTAAACTCTAAACTCCCTATAAATCATATTTTCCTTTACATGTTGACCTATTGTATTTTGGTCCCATTAGTCCCATATCTGAAATGGTTTAATAATGTGTCACTCGTGTTTTTCCCAGTACATCACATTTCAGGAAGCAGTGACAACAATGTCTCTTTGTTAAAAAATAAAACTCCAAATTAGGTTTTGTTGATATTATAATTGTTTAATTTTGTTTTACATTTATCTTTTTTTTTCAGCCATCTTGGATTGTGTGTTTCTTTATGATAACTCACTGGGAACTTGTCATTCTGTGCTTGCCATAAGTGAATTCCTGTCATTCCATTTAAAGCAAGTGAGGTTCAAATCAATAAATAAAATGCATTTCTATAACTATACATTGAGGCAACAGGTGCATCATATTTGACTGTAAAATAATAACACATTTAAATAGTAGATGTCTGTTTAGTCTCCCACAGGGAATCATATACAGTGGCAAACGTAGCCAATTTGGGTCCATAAACAAACTTTTGTAATAGAACCATTGTCCAAATTTGCCTTAATTTTCCATTAAACCATCAGAGTGAAGGATTCTGTAGAGCTATCAGTTTTAACACTGCAATACTGTGAACCAGACAAGTTTACTTAATTGTACTATAAAATGGCTCTGTGCCTAGAAAGTGCATAATTCTAGCTCTTTATGGAAAATCTCTGTCAGTTTGAGCGGTCAAGTGGACCAGCACATCCACCACTGAATGGATAAAAAAAAAAAGTAAATAAATAAAATACCCCAACAAGATTAAGACTTAGAAATGGTTTAGTCCAAGTCTGAAATTAGATCAACTTAAGATATTGTGCCATGACCTTAAACAGAATGTTCCCACTTCCAGTGAACTAATCCTGTAGTGTTAGCTGACTGGAAATCCTAAAAAGAAATGGGGCAAAGATCCTGCATTGTCATGGAAAAGCCTCATTGTTAGCAGTTGTTGCTGCCAACAGTGTCACAGCCAGTTAGCAGGCTAAGGGGTTGAATGCTTTTTCTCATAGTGCCAGGTTGGTTTGGAAAGTTTTTTGCGCACTATTAAACAAAACTGTCATCTGAAAACTACTTTTCTATTTTATTTGGGCTATATTGGTCTTACTATTTGTTTTTTGATCTAAAACATTTAGGCAAAAACAAAAGAAATCTCTAAGGGGGCAAATACTTTCACACTGTACTATCTCAGTAGTTTTTATTTACTTTGTTGGAGAAGCTGTGTTGTATTGTGCATGACAGAAATGTTGAACAATTATAATTGTACCTTTTTTTCCTTACTTTTTATGCAACAGTGTAATTAAATCACCTGAAACTAAAAACCTCAGTGACAGACCAAAAAAATAGAAAAATAAAAATGGCAACCTTCACTGGTGAAAAATATAACAAAAGATGTACATTCATGAAGTAATTATGAGTTTTGACATATCACAAACAGCAATTTTTTAGTTAACAGGAAAATTACCACATATTTAGGCCAACATGTTCAACTGAATCCCTTTAAATTCTACCCAAATAACTTATTGGTGTTTTATCTCCACCACTTTGTATCAAATCAGAGTACTTTACTCTGGATTGGGATCGGAGCACCATTAATTTACATTCAAGTCTGGACAATCCCAATTAACATAGAACATTCAGCCAGCCCCTCCTCCCCTCTAGAAATCGGTTTGAGTTAATCCTGGGACAACAATTAAACAATTAAACCAGATGCAAATGCAGGTGCCTTTTGTTATTTCCTCCTTTGAGAGATTACTTGTCTTCTTACTGGTGTTACTGGTGAGGGGTAATTCTCCCAAAACCTCTTAAAGTGGCTGGCCACAATCTCTTTACTGAAGATCTAATGTTTGTCCTTCCAAAGATACAGAGCATGAAACACACATACACATACACTGACATTTAATTATGTAGTTTTGTGCCTCATGTAACATGTTCTGGAGACAAAGTAAGTTTCATAAGCATGGTTATTGTTGATCTTGTTGGTTAATTCAAAGAAATGACATACTCTAAACTGTTTCTGTCAGCCCACAGAAAAGGATTTTGTTGAGTTTGAACATGACTGCACTGTAAAACTATTCAGACGTGTGAGAATGATTTGAATAAAGACCATATGTGGACATTCAGGATGGGCTTCATATGTCTAATATCTACACAGTTGACATCGTACTTGTTAGGTAAATTGTATTATCAACTATTTGTTATACCTTTGTAATGTTCTTGCTTTATGTACTCTTATTTGTTTAGTCATATCTTTTAAGAAATGTTCCTGTATTGTTAATCACTCTGATTTCCTTTCTCAGAGGGCCTCTCTGAAGAAGAGCAAGAAAGAAAAAAGCAAAGACGTATTAGGAGAGTTGCAAGAGCAAATCGGATTTGTTACTCCTGTGTACAAAGTTTTATAGTAAAGTCGTATTATTGTCTTTAATTTATTCAAATAAGGCGTATCTTTGCTCATCCAACCAGGAGCTGTCTCGGACCCTCTTTAAAGTTAGAAACTCCCTACAATTTTTTTTTCAAGATCAAACACCAGTTGTCCCTTTATCTAAACAAAGTGAAAGCAGAGCTTCTCCTCCACTGGCCTGAACTCCTGTTGTTTTATGGCTTTTCACATATCAGTGTGAAAACTGGAACGTCTCCTGATTGTTTCCCACACAGACAAAGGGCAGTTCAAAAGATCTTAGCAAACCATCTGCTGTAACTACAGGTAACATAAAGGTCAATAGGGCAGAATAAGTTATTAATGTGAAAACTATAATTAGGCTATTTCAATCGAGACATGTTGCTAAGTTTTAAAACTAGCATATTTGAAATGTATTTCCTTAACAATCCTCAGCTCCAATCCAATTAAGTTACAATCATTACTTGCTGATTCAAATGCTTGTACTTTTATCTGTTTGGTATTTGTAAAAATTGTTCTAGATTATAATGTTTTTGTGGGTGCCAAACATGTCCACGTTGAAATCAGAGAACTTACAATAATGAAAGTAAAACATTGTATCTAATCCCTCTTTAAACCTCTCATGGCCACATTTGGCCTGCGAGCCTTCAGTTTAAAACTTGTGAGGTAGATAAGGCACCCAGTCGTTTGCTTAATGCAGATGGTGAGTACCCCCACTTAAAAACGCAACCATTCACTCTTTTGTTCTTTGGAATGTCCTGGCTTCTGAGAGGACTGTATCTAAACTGGGCTCCTTGCAGAAAGAGACGTTCTTCCTTCCAGAAGGACAGAACAGACCTCACATTTTCTACTGTTTTTACTTCAGATTTTTGAGGATGTGTTGGAATTGCTGAGCACAGCCACATTTGGGAGGACAAAACTCAAACTCAGATTTCTTTCAACTGTTTTTTTTGGTTGTTGTTTTGTCTCTTCTGTTGACCACTTTGCAACATTTTGGAGGACAAAAACCAACTTGTAGATTTTTCTGCTCTTTGTTTTGAGCTTATAACAACAGGTACGTTCCACACTTTATCAAATTCCTCCATTGTGTTCTATTTAGTCTGTAAAGCAAAAATATTAATAGATTTGTACCTTTTCATGAAGTCACCCACACTGTAAAAAAAACAAATTGAAAAAAAAAAAACCCGGGTAAATGTACAGTAGAAATTTGAATAAATTTTTCCGTTTTTAGTTTTGCAGGTATTTGTACTGTATTTTCAATTTTACGCATTGCATCATGGGAACAAGAACCTTCGAAAAGCGCGAAAATTGGCCAGACGACATTTCAAGCTCGCTTGCCGGACCCTGGCGTTTGTAGGAAGGAAAAGAAAGGGAAGAAGAAACAGGAAGGAGGAAAGAATAATAACAAGGTTAAGGTTTGGTCATACAGGGCTTAATTATTCACTTTTTAAAATACAGAAGCACAAAACTGGAAAGTGTGATTATTGTGAGAAGTTTGAAACAATAGAGCATGTTATGTTAGTGTTATAAATATGAAGAAGAGAGAAGATGCATGTTGAGAGAGTGTGAAGGTATTAAAGAAAGGTTTAATTTATCAGATTTTTGGAGAAGGGATTTGGGGAGTAGACATATTCAAATAATTATTCGGTTTCTTTCAAAAACAAAGTTATTTCATAGAATCTGAATAGAGTAAGATGGTTGTGAATGTGTAAAGTATAACGAAGAGAGTGGTATATAAAGCTATATGCAAGTAAGGTTATATAAGAAGGTGTGCATGTGTGAGTGTATGTTTTTTCAGAAATTATTGTAGGGATTAGGTATGAAGAAAAGTATATAGATAATCACGAACCACACTCCATTAAGTGGTGGTAATGCTACTGAAAGTTTGTTGCCAACCGCCAATAAAAACCAACAAGAAGAAGATTAAGAGTGATTAAGGTGCCTTCCTGGCACCTCCCTGGTAGAGTAAAATAAATAAGAACACATTCTTTTCTGTGAATAATGTTTTGAAATATTTGTAGTTGACTTCGTTTGTCTTCGTGAGACTCCTGGCACAATCTATAATTGCAAACTATTTTGCCGTCTTTTTTTTTTTTACAAAAAAGGTATATATTATTTTTAAAATGCTGTGTTTGCTTGTGTATTGTAAAAGTAAAACACGGTGACTGCTGTATTACTATTATTTATTTATTTTACAGAACTCGTACCGTCCATTTTTTCAAGTCAAACTGAACTGGGCGCGTGGAAGCTAACCGTTCATGGCGTCATGCTACTTGTGTCTCAATCCTGTTTTTTTTTTTTTTTTTTAAATGTCAAGCTGCAGTTGTCTTATTTGCTAAACATGATTTGATGTCCCGGTTGTTAACATAAAAGCAGGTGGTCATTTAACTAAGGTAAATATACTTTCCATGTCAAGTTTGGGGGTTTAGAATAGTATGGTGAGGTCGAACGACGAACGAACGTAAACGGTTTTCCGTGTTTTAAAATTTAACATATAAGAACTGTTAAATTACAGAAAAAACTGTTAAATTACAGAAAAAACTCTGCCGGAAATTCTGTAAAAAAATAAAACAGGAAAATGTACTGGCAGAAAATTACCAGGACATTTTCCTGTTTTTTTATGGGTTTTTTTTTATTTTTTACTGTACATGTTAAGCTTTTGTTGCCTTTTGTATAAACAGTCATTTTCAATCAAGCTAAGGTTTTAAGACTCACCATGTCTAATATATATTTTAATTTTCAGAGAAGTAATGAATGCCAAAGGAGTTTGTCCTGAAGAGGAAGCCTTGCACTTCATTGCTTCTGAGAAGGACAAAGACATATTTCAGAAGAAATTCATCAGTGAAGACAAAGGTATGCTTTTGTTTGATAATATAACGTTTTCTGTTTAATATCCTGAAGCAGGTTCTACTTTTAAAGAACCTCATCTGGGCTAGTGTGGAGTATGACACTGAGCTGCATATTGCTGCAGTCTGTGTTTATTATCTATATAACTATTATATGCTCTCAAGATTCAGCAAGTTTGAAGTCGCAGTTCAACATTGTGGGACTATAAATGCGAAGCTCAATGAAACCCTGGTTGTGTTTTTTAGGTTATGGAGTTATTGCCACCAAAAACATTGAGCCAGGAGAATTCCTGCTGGAGTATGTTGGAAGACATATCACTGGCTCTGAAGGAGAGGACCTGTATAAAGAGTACTCAGCTGAAGATGCAACATTTTTGCATTTCTACAACTTCCAAGGACAAAACTTCTGGTAAGTACAATTGTATGAACGTCCAAACTTTGAATCTAAGCCCAGGGATAAGTATAATTTATCTCTTTTTTTCCCAGCATTGATGGCAGTAAAGACACAGCAAGACTTGGAAGATTCATAAATGATGATCACATCAAGCCAAACAGCAAAATTAAAATTTTGAGTAACACAGTCAGAAGTCACTCTGTATTAATTTAGTAACTGTTTCATTTAACAAACAAACTGACTGAAATAATGTGTGTCTGTACCTTTATAACAGATATTGGATGAGCAACAAATACCACATCTGTGTGCATTTGCAATCACAGAAATTCTTGCAGGAGAAGAAATCGTCTACACCTATGAAAACCCCATCTGTCAATGGCGACAGGTATGTAACTTTTATTTACATATATTTTTATTTTATTCAAAGCATGTTTTAGCAAATGTCATACATCTCAGATACTACCTCTGCATCTCTCATTTGTACTATATTGTTAATAATGAGCTTTAAGTTGCATAAATGTTTGTTAACTTGTTTAAACTCAAAATGCAAAAACTCTGTCAAAGGTTAAAACAAACCAAATTGTGTATAATAATGTAATGCTGTAATTGTCCATTTTGTAGAAGACAACTTCCTTCTCTTCTAATGCACACATGGAAAAGAAGGTTAAGATTTGTGGAAGCTTTTTCTTCATCTTTATTCATTGAATAAATTCATTATGTTTTTCTATTATCTTTCTGCTGCAGCAGAAAGATAATACAAAAGATAATTGGTACTCTATTGTCCCATTGTTTCTTTTTGCTTCATTTTAAAGGAATCTCGATGGAAGAGCTCACTAGAAAGTCTCAAGTCTGAGTCTGGCGTGGTGGAAATTGATGGCCTTGTATTCAATCCAAACATAAAGATTGCAAATGGATGCAATGAAGCAGAAGTCTTTCCAGGACTCTTCTGCAACGGCCCTGTGGCAGTCAAGCGATTTCTTAAACATATCAACAAAAGCCAATTGAAAATAGCAAACTTTCTATGTTCAGACAGATTAAAAACCAAACATCTGTTGCAGCCCCTTACTGTGATTGAAGACACTTACTTGGCCTATTTAGTCTTGCCTCTTTGTGAATATAATCTCAAAGACCTGATCGAAAATAAGGATTTTCCTGAGAGACAAAACCTGACTGAGCAGTGGAGACTGGGAATCTGTCAGGAGTTATTGCTGGGACTTCAGGAACTGCACTCACATGGAATGTTTCACGGAGATCTGAAGCCTGAAAACATCCTGTTTGGTAAAGGATGGGCAAACTGTACAGTCATTTTATTCACAAACGTTGATAATCAAAATGCTAATTTTGATTAAATTATGTTTTGATATTTGTATAACTAAAGATATTTTATTTGTCTACAGATATCAACAATAAAATGTGTATTGGAGACTTTGGAGCAAGTAGAAATCTGGATCCTACAGACACTGCATCGTTTTCACTAATAGGTGGAACTTTGTCCTGGGCCAGTTATGAGGATGTTGGAGATATAAAAAGCAAATCCAAGAAGGAGTCAGATATCCAGGTGCGTTGAACTTAAAATGCTCATTTAATTGTATACTAGACACTCGGATTGTTTGTTGCTCTATAATTTTGTTCAATCATTATCAAGTGTTTGGATTGCAATAATACTAATAACAGTCATTATTATTCTTCACTCTGCATAGTTTGACTTTGAGGACAAGGTTTTAATGTAATCCGTTACATTTTAGGTAGCGGGGTGCTTGGTGCATTACATCCTGACAGATGGACAACATCCCTTTCAAACTACAACCCCATACTTCAGGGATCCCACTGGGCTGATTCATAACATCAGAATGGCCAACTTCACTCTTCAGTGTGATGAAAGATGGAGTGGGTTAAAAGACATCATTACCCGGATGCTGAGCAGGTCACTTGAAGAATGTCCCACTATTGAAGAATCCCTTAAGGCTGTCATGTGTAAGTAGCATTGCTTTAAATAACTTTATGGGCTGGAAAACATTATCTTAAATTATACATAAAAACTGGTGAACCCTATTTTGTCTTATTTACAGGTTTGCCACATTGGTCTGATTATACTGGAACCACAAACAACACTGGGCTTGAGAATCAAAAAGCAGTAAGTCATTGTTTTCCAGTAGTGTAAGGCAATGTAAGTGTACTTTACTGTAAAACATTTAACGTCTTTCCACTGAAGAAATTTTATCTGACTTTTCAATCCATATTTAATACTTACTTTTATTGTCATTGATATATTCATTAATTCACTACTTTTTGTTGTTTTATTGCAAGATGGAACCCCCCATACAACAAACTTCAGATGAGACTGACATTGCAGACAGTACTGTCAGCGATCTGCTTGAAATTTCTGACTGTAAACCATTGTTTCCATCTTCTTTGATAGAAGAGGAATTTTCTGAGTTTGACATGGTAAGAAAAGATTTAATTATATAAGCAGCAATTACTTATATGATTATAACTAAGTATAAAGAAGTGGTGCGAGTATCACTTCTTTATACAGAAGTGGTACTCTTCTGTATAAAGAAGGTACCCTTTTCAAATTACTTTACAAAGAGTTAATTACTTTGCAAAGTAAAGTAATTTAGTAGTAGTAAAGTAGTAATATAGTGTCCTCGGGTCAAAATGACTCGCCACTGTGTTAAAACCCCCCAAAACACAGTGGCGTTTTGGGGGCCACTAAATGTTTTTTTTTTTTTTTTTTTTTTGAAATTTTAAGACTTTTCCTAGATTTGTCCAAACAATATAAAAAAAATTAATGTTGCTTTTATTCACATTTCCATATAAGCTGTACAAAAAAGGTACAAAGGTGGTCTTCAGGTCAAAATGACCTGTGAGGTAAATAAGTTGAAATCAAGGTCACAGAGTTATTTACAAACCACAGAATGTTACAAAGTTTTAGTTGTGTCTCAGATCGATCAGTAGCAGAAGTGAACAAGGCTTCAGACTTCAGAAGACCACCTGTTATTTCAAGAGGTTATAAATGTGCTGGATAACAGGACCCCGAATTGTGTCTATGCTGAAGCCATGAGTGTGCGTTATAACACTGAAGAGGCTTAAGAGGTGATTTTCTCACATGTCCAGCCAGACTACTCTGATGCAGAAGAGGAAGTGAAGGATGTATCCGAAGAAGAAGATGGAGAGGAATACAACCCAGAGCATGATAAATCTTCTTCTTCTTCAGAAGAAGAAGAAGACAAAGAAAACCCTGAAGCTGAAAGTGAGGCTTTCCTTTCAAAAAATGGCCAAATAACATGGTCCTCAGAGACATATGACCAACATGGCAGGCATGCAAAACGGTACATTGTAAAGATGACCCCAGGACCCACAAGGTATGCCGTTTCTCGTGTCCATGATATTGTTTCTACATTCTACCTGTTTATCACACCAGCAATAAAAAAAATAATCCTGGAGATGACAAATAGGGAGGGTTTTCGCAAATTTGGAGACAGCTGGAAAAAGATGGATGAGATTGACCTGCAGGCCTACATAGGGCTGCTAATCCTAGCAGGTGTATACAGGTCCCGGGGTGAAGCTGCAGCTAGTCTATGGGATGCAGAGAGTGGAAGGCCAATTTTCCGAGCCACAATGGCACTCAGCCTCTTTCGAATCTACTCAAAACTGATACAATTTGATGACCGTGAGACAAGACCAGCAAGACGTGTGAAAGACAAACTTGCACCCATAAGAGAGGTATGGGACAAGTGGGTGGAGCGGTTGCCCTACCTCTACAATCCAGGGCCTGACGTAACAGTGGATGAGCAACTGGTTCCATTTAGAGGTAATCTGTTTTCATATTTGTAATAAAAGTGATTTTCACTATTGATTTCTTTGACTGTTTTCTGTGACACTGATACTAATCACTGATGCTAATGTCTTTTGTCCAAAGGTTGTTGTCCTTTCCGGCAGTATATCCCCAGCAAGCCAGCAAAATATGGGATCAAGTCATGGGTGGCTTCCGAATCAAGCTATGCTTGGAAAATGCAAATCTATACTGGGAAGTCAACCAGTGGATGCCCAGAGAAGAACCAGGGGATGCGAGTTGTGCTTGATGTGACAGAGGGACTGAGGGGTCACAATGTGACATGTGACAATTTCTTCACCTCTTATGAACTCGGACAGCAGCTCCTGAAGAGGAAGATCACCATGATTGGTACAGTTCGAAAGAACAAGCCTGAGCTCCCACCTGCACTGCTTACCACAAAGGAGAGAAAGGTCTTCTCCTCAAAGTTTGCCTTCACTCCCACCACCACTCTAGTTTCCTACCTCCCAAAGAAAAACAAGAATGTAGTTCTTATGAGCACACTGCACAAAGACGGCGACATTAGCAATCGTGAGGACAGGAAGCCAAACATCATTCTGGACTACAACCACACCAAAGGAGGTGTAGACAACCTAGATAAGGTGATTGGAACATATAGCTGCAGAAGAATGACTGCCCGCTGGCCCCTGGTCATCTTCCACAACATCATTGATGTGTCCTCCTACAATGCCTTTGTGATTTGGAGAGAGATCAACCCGTCCTGGATGTCTGCTAAGACCAACAAGAGGAGGGTGTTCCTGGAGCAGCTAGGAAAGGCACTTGTAACTCCACACATTGAAAGAAGGACGCATGTCCCCCGCACAGAAGCCTCAGCAGCAGTTGTGAAAGCTATTCAGAGAGCAGCAGCTCCTGATCAACCTAAGGATCCATCTACCACAGTCACTTCCCCAGCTAAGCCAAATAAGAGGAAGAGATGTCAGTTCTGCCCTCAAAAGAAGGACTGTAAAACATATACCGCGTGCTGCAAGTGTAAGAAATATATCTGCAAAGGCCTTACACTTCCATACTGCCCTACATGTGCTAATTAGTTGAATGGGTTATGTTATTTTTCACGTTTTCATATCTTTGTCACATTTGTAGATTTAAACTTTCTGTCTTATTGCTTCAGTATTTCTACTTAACCTTATGTTCTCGCAGCAAGAAACACCAACATGGATGCTTCAAAGCAGGGAAGGAGCTGTTAGGTCTCTCCATTTCATCACAAATACTCATGTCTCACAAAGCCATGACATCCTGTTGGTTTTCCCTATTTGCTTGAAGGCAATTACACTTTGAATATTACACTGTGTGCACAGCTACTAGGCAAATCTTTTTCTTTTTTTGTTGCTCTGATTATTTGTACCAAAATGTTAATAAACCTCAAATATAAATGCTTAAGGAAGTAAAGTGAATTTCTATATTTATTGTCCAACTATTATCATGCCATAGACCAGAGAGCTGAACTGTTGATCTTCACTGTAAATCTCCTGTTTCGGTTCAGTTGAGGAAGAGCGCCGTGTCGTCAGTTTTTCTATATTTAACACCTCTGCTGGCCGGTACTTGGATAAATGTAATGGAAAATAATTACTGTATTTTTTTTAAAGATACAGACAACTCCCTCTAGTAGTGTCTTCTAAAAACTGGCAGTACGTTTGGGAGTTGACATTGAGCCCATCTTCAACATGACTAGGTCCAACCAGCTGATCTTCAATAACACCAGGTCAGACCAGTAGACTCCAAGTAGAGCTTTAAGCCCATTGCTCATCCACCCATGGCCCTCTGGGAGACTTTTGATAAAATTTTGACTTTTCAAAGTCAGCTAAATCTCTTTTTCGACCCAATTTGCCCAAAGAAAAGCAGAAATCTCCTTTTCAATATGAAGAGGAAGTATTCCAGGCAGCTCTAACCATATGCATTCACACACACACTCACACAGACACACACACACTCTTTTAATCCTGGCAGATTGAAAGCAGTGAAGTCTTCTAAAGATTACTCTTTGTCTGTGTATTGTGTGTGTGTGTGTGTGTGTGTGACTTAATGCATGAAGCTCATGGGTCATTACCCTGTCAGCAGCAGGACATGAAAGGCCATTATCCAAAGGAGTCTGAACTATAAATATTTGATACGTGAAGAGGATGTCCTGTATCTCTCATTATGCACACCCTGTCATCTCAGGATTTGGCTACCGTTTAAAATTATGGAAATATTCGGTGGCTCACTAAAGCATTCACGCTCCCTTTGAGCTTTCATACATTTTCTCCCACTGTGACTAGAACATTTCAGTTATTTCATTAAATGTTTTTCTGAAGGAGCAACACACATATTTTGATGAAGTGGAAGGAGAATGATATAAACTTTTTTCAAACTTTTTACAGATAAAAAACCTAAATAGGTTGGTTTGTATTGGTATTTAACCTCACTGAATTAATATTTTGTACAACCATCTATTTGTTACGATCACAACTGCAATCTATTGGTGACTGGGAGAGGGATGTCTGATTTTTTTATTTATTTTTTGGTTTTACCTCCAAGACCCAAATTGAAGTAGAAGACACTGGATAGATTGATTAAGGCTTTTCTCTTGGAGAGCTATTTTTTTTTTATTATTTTTATCAAAATATTTTTATTATGTACAAAATATCTGACTTATAAAATATAAGCAAAACTCAATATTAACACAGTTCAAGTTTGCATATTATTGTCAAGTCTCTCACAAGCAGCTTTTGACAATCTCAGTAAATGTAGAAAATGTTAGCCAGCTAGTTTTCCTTCAAACTAAAGACTGGCCTCCTCCGTGTTGTTGTAGTTTCGCAGGCTAAAAGCCAGAAATAGGCCAAGTCTGTTTTCATCCTCCCTCAGAGAGTCATAAAATGATACACATCCTGCTGGGTTCCGGTCCCTTCACCCGGAGGGGCAGCGAGTCTCCTGGAAGCTTGGGAATGCCGTCCAAGACCTCCAGGTTTGGCAAACAGGAGAAAACACTGCAAGAGAGGAGAAGAGACAGCAAATGAAGACGACCTCCAGGGAACGCACCTCATTATAGCCTCAGCCTACCCACTGTGCACGGTAGTCCCGACTGAAGGTCACTGGGTTGCGGGTCAGGTTAAGGGAGCGCAGTGGGCTGCTCCCCAGAGCCCCCAGCCCCCGCAGGGAGCTGATGGCGTTCTCCGACAAACAGAGGTGCTCCACTGCTGGGAGCTTTGGCAGCTGACGCAGACACACCAGTTGGTTACGATGCAGGTTTAGCATTTTGCACCTGCTTGGGCAGAAACCAATAGCACTTTGTGTTATTACAAAGGCTTCATCACAATTCATAAAGGGGTCTTAAAATTACCCGGAAAACAAGATAATTTGTGGAAGAATATGAAAGGGGAACTCAGTTTCTGATGTGCAGGTGGTTCTACTTTAATTAAAGACAAGCAGGCAGGGATTGACGAAACCGAAGCAGACAATTTGAGCAGGTATCATTTCTAATAAACAGCAGGATAAAAGAAAATACGGGCAGTACTGGTGAATACGCAGCATCATCAGAGCCTAATATGGATACAGCTTTGATCTAGAAGCATGAAAAAAGTTCCTCCTCAAGCTGTTTTCTTTAAATACACCTTTATTTAAACCACTTAAAGGCGTGCCAGTCGAGTTTCACCAGCTGCCAGAAACACCATCTGGGGAACGTTTGTATCACAGATGCAACTTACAGCCTGAAGAAGGAGGAGAAGGAGCGGATGCGCAGGCTGAGGCAGGTCTATGTTACCTCTTGAGAAAACGTTCATATTCCATTTAAAGCACAGAGTGCATTCCGTACACAAATTTAAAACCACAACATGGTCAGACACCCTGATTTATTGGGAGATCAAATTATGTGTTTCATATTTACACAACGGATTTATCAAGTGTCGACTTTACCTTGGCAGACGTACCGAACTCAGGTCGGTGAGTGAGTTGTCGATCAGCTGTAGTATCTCCACGCGGATCAACCGTCGGAGGATGCGGAAAAAGTTCTCCCTCTGGTAGGGATCACCCAAGTTTTGGTAGGACAGATTTAGCTCCTATAGAAACAGAAGCTGTCAGGGCTCTGTCCTTTTAGTTTTTCATCTGTACTTAACTTCTTCAGCGAGACAGAAACAACAGCAGACTTCTTTAAAACCAGAGTCTTTTTTTTCCGTTTTCTTGTAATCTGAACCGTCTGCTTCCACAGAGAGTTCTGTTTTTGCTGTCAGCCTGCACAGACAGCAAGGCCACCAAAATCACAGGCGTTGCTGTAGAGCAGACTGAGCAGACTGTGTTTTTGAGTTTCTCAGCAAAACAAATAGTGGTGACATGAAACACTTGATGAATTTGCTGAAAATGACCTGAAAAACCTAAAGAGTTTCATAAATAAATAAAAAATATTAATGGGTCTTTGAACTCTCAACAGTGATCCAAAATATGGCAAATATTATGACAGAAAGGTTCCACCAGGAACAAAATGTAACTTTCCGAGGTCATCACAGTTTTTCGAGAGCCTTGCACAGAAGAGCGCATAAATGAGGACATGAAGCTGACGTATTGTGGAAAGAGAAAAGGGTGAAGATTCCTCTATCCTAGTGCCAAAAGAGAGTTTTACAAAGTACGGGTGACAATTATAGTGGTAGACTGATTTTCACGTGACATTATTTCATTGAAATCCTTAACCATGGAAAAAACATAAATACTTAAGCTTCTATAAAGAATGAATTTATTTATTGGGGTTTTACACATTTTAATTAGGGGTGTCAATAACTGTGGCAAACTTTAAATAAATTCCTGTGGCTTACCAGACAGTTTTCCCAATTTTCTTGCAGTCTCTCCTCCCAGCTCTGCCCTTCCTCCTCTCTCCTCTTCCTCCTTCCTCTTTCCAAACAGAAATTTCTTCCTTCTCTGAAGTGAAACTCCTCCTCTGATGGTCCTTGTTTTGAAGAAAAAAAAAAAACCCTGATTATTTGTGACCACCATTGCAATATATATTAGAATATCACTTTGCTAAAGTCTGCTTGCGATGCAATGTGTTACAAAAAAGGATGTTCTTCTCCACAATCCATCGGTGAGTAAAAAAATTACAACAGCTGTGTTTGTTTTTGTTTTTTAAAAACTGGTAGTCATCAAAGAAGATCACATGCCTTCTCTGACCCGGGGGCAGGTCAGCTGGTCGCCGGTGACCTCACACTGCTCCAGGCGGTGCCACGGCACAAACTGGAAGCGGCTTGAAGGAAGCTGGCGAGGACAAGAGGAGGACAGGGACATGTAAGTTGAGAGCTCAGTCACAATATTGTAATCCTTGTGGACAGCATCTTTCAAAGCCATCCTGCATTTTTGCAACAAGTTGTGATGCATAATCAGGACATAAACTACGAAGGCCTAGGCGTCATTCAGAGTAGCTTGATTTCAACAGAAAGTCAATGATTAATCAAAATTCAGCTCAGAAAAAAAGAACATGTTTGTGTTTAATGTGCCGCAGCCTCCAATCTGCCAAACTCCACACTAACCTACAATTAATGTGCCATTGTAAAGGCAATGACACATGTAATCAGACTGACAAGGGTTCAGATTGCCTCACAGGCCGACCGTAACCTCTAACTGCCTGTTTTACTGACCTGGAAATAAATTTTGTCTCCTCTCTGTATCTTTTACAATGTGAAGTTTTTTTTGTTTTCCCTTCGTATTGCTTCATGCATCTCTTCAGCAGCTACAGTATTACAGGCTTCACGTCCCCCTCTGCAAACTCAAATCAGAACTATTTACCACTTTCACTCAAACAGTAAACATTAAAAGGCATCAAACTGTCTGTTCTGTTGAATACATCCTAATATTTATTGGACAGCCTAACAAATGCATATCAATCTACAGTATAAATTACATTTGTATATGTTTTCAATTTGATGTATCCAGCTGAATACCATTTACCTCAGAAGTCAGAAGTTGAAGTTGGGAATAACGTTCACTTCAGATTTAACAGCATTCCAGGCAACATGGTCAGAGAAGTTGGAGTTCCAATATGGCGACGCCAAAGTAGCCATTGTTCGTAGCAACGCTAACAAACATCATCTTAAGCTGGACTTTCCACGTGCAAACACCATTTTTAATTTAGACAATTGAGAGTAGCTGGTGCTACCTGCGACACTGATTTTAGACACACTCTTACAAAAACAATAGTTAGCTACTATTGCTAGTAGCTTACTATTGTTGATATGAGGAGCTGCCATGTTAGATCTCGAAGTCAGTATTTGAAGAGTTCTCAGATTCTCCAAGCCAGATGTCCGACTTCGTAAGGAAGGGCTCCGGTGTATTTTTCTAACTCGGATGTCAAAATTTCCACATTGCAACTACAAATAGATTGCAGCATTTATTCTCCACTTGCTTGACCCTTTCTTACCCTACAAACTCATTGTTGTTCACCTTTGCTTTGCCTTTGTAACTTCACACTTACATCTGTTAACACAAGCACAGTGCAGGAATGACCCCAGTGCACTTGACCACCACACACCTGCCGACAGAGCGGACACTTGTAAAACAGCCCTAAGACATCTGATCTTGTCATATAAAGCTGGAGGAACAGTAAAATTATGTTGTAAAGAACACACTTTGGATATTTTATGTCATAGACTAACTCGAAATAGCACATTCTAGTGATGTGGAAGAAAAATACTTCATGGTTTTCAAAATGTTTACCCTCAAATCTTTTGAAAACTGTGACATGCGTATCCTTTTCACTGTGATATACCTAAACACAATCCAGCACAAGCTAGTTCAGGTGACAGACGTCAGCTGGCAATTAAACAAATTCCACCTGTTGTACACCTGAATACAGCATCCACACTCTCTATCTTATTCTGATTCTTATTTCTAAAGAGTGTGCAAACCATTGTGTTCTTGTGCTTTCACTTTACAATCAGGCGCTGCCTTATGCTGCTATACCACACACAATTCTTACAAAATACACGTAGGTTTGTGGTTGCAATGTGAGAAAATGTGAGAAAACCAAAAGGGGTGAATGTGAATAATTTTGCCAGAAAGGTACAATACATCAAAGCTCACCTTTTTAGCAAAGGACTGTACGTGTACCAAGTCTATATATGCTTTAGATCTAATAGATGTAGAGATCTCTGCATATATTAGAGTATAGAGGATGAAAGATTATTTCAGTTGACGGCTGGAGGTGGGAGGCCAGAGGAATCAGAGCCAGAAGAAGATACGATGAGAAAATGAGACAGAACAAAAAGAGAGGAGTGAAGAGAGAGAGGCTATAAGACAAGAGATGGCCCCGAGGAGCAGATGTTGGTGTGTGTCACTCACAGGTGTAGATACCAGTCCAGAATCAGGACTGTGGTCCACTGAGAGAGGTGTACGTGTAACTCCGAGCTCTGAGTACTGGGATGAGTGGGACTTAGGAAAACTTCCACTGAGCGTATTCACACCAGAAGAACTACGAGAGGAAAAATAGATTATGTTACGAGGAAAACCTGACATGGCGTGCATAGTACATTGATGCATTCACCTGAGTAAATAGGAGTTGTATGCTGCATTATTGTAATGTAAGCCCTGTGTGTGTGTGTGTGTGTGTGTGTGTGTGTGTGCTGACTGACACCCTGACCACTGGCAGAGTGGTTAGAGTTACAGTGAACTGGGCCTGACAATGCAGATTAGGACCCGTTGCCATGGCACCAGTGGACATCTGAGCAGGTGCTGTTAGTTTCTAATAGTGCCTGTCTGCATGTGATAAGTGGACCCTGGTGTTTCTATAATGTATCCTACATGCTCTTTCCTGCTTAACATGAACCAGAGGGGGAAACAAATTAAGAGATTCCAAACCTATATATTGTGTAATTTTCTTTTAAAAAAACAGACAAATTTGTTCTGAATGGTACATACCTTTCTGACATGTCCCAATCGCCGTGTGATGATTTCTCCTGTCCTTTGTTAACACATTCTGAACTGTTCGGTGAAGCGCTGTTGCCCGGCAGCTGTTACCCATGGAGCCGTTGGCTTTGTTAATAATCACTCAGAGAAAGTTACCCATCCTGTTTGCTCACCAACTCTGGCCCAGAGTCTGACACCGAAGCGGATCTCTGCTGTGCGTGAATGACAATACTGCCAGGACGCTGTGTGAAACCGCCAAGCTGCTGGTTGCCTGGCAACACTATTCAGGGTCACTACAACCCCAAATGAAAATTGGCTTTTTCTTTTTTGACTGTAATGATAAGCTGTGTACATTTTATTTATTTGTTTGTTGGTTGGTTTAACAGTGGCACCAATTTTTTTTCCCTTGAATCGACTAAAACAGAGGCAGAAATAGAGGCAGAGAAACATTTTGTTATCAGAGGGTATATTTCTTTAAACAGGCAAAACTAACTCTAAAGTAAACTGAACAAAAATGCCTCGATTTATTTGTTATCTGGTTAATTTATTTTCCTTTGGAAACATCTATGGCCAGAGAGAGTCTATTGAATGGACACTTCCAGCCCTCATGCCTTATATTATCCCTGTGTCGACCAAAGGCTAGTCTGAATATTAGTGCTGGTCATTTCAGCTTTTTTCCATTTTCTATAGTTGTAGCTCTGATCTGTATCTGACTTTTTTGCCTACAACATGGAGCTATCAGCCATGCGGCATATCACGCCTGTAAGGATTGGGATGAAATCTATTTTTTGATGCATCATGATGCAGACATGGAGGATTCTGAATCAAATTCATCGATTGTTTTATGAATTAATTTCTAGGAACCCAGAAGGCATAAAGTATGAATAAGTACAGCACCTTGACAGTTCATATTGAACAAACAAGGTTACATGCACTCAGTACCCTCTGCACCAAAGGGAAAACGGCTTAAACAGAAGCCACACTATTGAGATCAGTTGGTATAGCCATGACAAAGCTTCCCTGAACCTCAGAAAGTCTCAGCTGATTATAAAATGTATTGCAACTTTTACTGCAAAGGATCTGCAACCATCAAAGATGACAAACCAATCCCTACAACGGCAAGACAAATCCAAACTGATGGGATCACAGCCAGGTACGACAGCAGGATCATGTGATGCATGCACAGCTATTGCAATAGAATCCTATGCCACTGAAACACTTTTTAGGATGTGAGTTGTGTGCAGCAAACGAGAGCAGTGAATGAGAACTGCAGAGATAAAAAAGATTATTGCAGAGAAATTGCAGATAGCTAAACAAGTTCTTTTGAGTGGCAAATTAGGTGAGAGATTTTGGAATACGGTAAGATGTTTGATGGCTCTGCAGAGGTTCACAGACATTTGTTTTTGAGCTCTGGTGAAATTTTTAAATGTCTGTAGGAACTAATCTTAGGTTTTCTTTGTCTATTATTTAAACTTGTTTGTTGATATTAAACATTCAATTGTGACTTGAAGCTAAATCGAGATAAAGTGATCTACTTGGTAATTTTCCATGTCTACATTCTGTATTTTGTATTGTCTTGGGCAAGAGGAAAAATATGAACATGAAGAAGACATAAGGCACAAACGTCATACCAGCTGGTACAAGATAAATAACCTCCTACACACGAGCCATAGATCCTCAGCAAGATAAATAGTTGATAAAACACACATTGCACCCTCAAGATATTTATATCCACACACCTTGCAGCCCTAGAATTTAAAAAATAAATTCTGTATCTAAAACCTCATGGTTATAGGATTGTGCATGTTTGATTTAATCACAGGCATAATCTGTTTATTGGTTGTGTGTTTAGCTGTTTTAATGAGGTGTGTGATGCAAAATTAACTTTACCCATGCAGGACACTGTGGTGCACATTTCATGAAAAAAATAAGCTGTGCCAGTGTCTGAATTTACAAATGCTGAAGTATTTTTTGTAAAGTAACATATTTATTTTTTCTCCTCCTAATTCCAATTTATGTTTAAATAACACAGCAGAAACTTATACAGTATGTTCTCATCACAGTTGTACAAGTCATGCTGCTTAAAACCTAAACAGTGTCCTTTAGTGATACAAAAGCACAGTAATCACACGCAGACGATTTTATGTCCATATGTATATATATAGAGAGAGATTTTAATGGAAACACATTCATGTTTGGTCAAATAAAAGAATCGGTACAGCTGGTGTTTCTGTTTCCTGCTAAATGTACATCCACAAGAGTGCTGCAGATCTACCTTCATCCTCTGGTCCATCGCCATAGCAACCTGGCCTAGTTACACAATCCCCTCGGCTTACCTGTTCGATGCCCAGCTCGGGCTCAATTAACCATTCGCATACGATAAGGCATAATATTTCCTCAGGAGCTAAGCCATGTGTCTACAGCAGACAGAAAATGTCTCAATACTAAGATACTAAGATATTTTGTAGGAACGCAATGCTTGCACAGTTTTTCCTGCAATAAATAGTAAGCAAATGTATGCATATAAAACACAACGCTAATCATACAGAAATATAACCGAAGTGTTGCTCTTAAGTTGAGTACATTTTGAGTGTCATATGTTTTGTAGCAGGTGAGTAAGAAGCAGAAGCTCCTGAGCTGAACTTAAAGGGGCTGTGCATGGATTACATACAGTGTGTCCCTGTCGCTCATACAAACCGCACTTTGCTAGCGAATATTTACATCTACCTGTCTGTGTGTCTGTATCCAAGAATTTAAAGCTTCCAGTATAAAAACACCGTCACATTATACAGTATGCAGTATGTCGCAGTTTCATCATATGTCATATTGTACTAGGATAATATATATTCTTTGTAAAGAGTATAAAACACAGCTGAGGATGGCGATAGAGAATAGGTAGCATTTATGACGTCAGGATTTGATTGACAGCGCAGCCTCGCGTCTCGTCTAAACGGAGTCGAAGTCGTGGTCGAAGGGCTCGACGACTTCGGGGGTCATGACTCTGCCCATGAAAAGAATGGAGCCTTAAAGTAAAAGACAGATAAAGGGAAGTTTTATTTATGTGAACAGCAGAAAACTGGTGTACAGGTGGAATCATGCTTACCAAATTCATAGACTGTCTGGACTTAACATTTTGTGGACATAGTGCCTTGCAACAGTACATATACATACTAATATGTTGGGATTGTTTTATTTATTTTTTTTTACAATAAACCAACACAAAAGAGTGCATACATGTAAATTGGAAGGAAAATCATGATAGATTGTGATTTAAATTTTTTTAAACACTTCTTGAAGGTAAAAATAAGAAAACTGTCACACGTTTCTTTTTCAGAAGTCAGATAGGATGGAAAGCTTCTGTGAGCATCAACTTGGTGCAGATTATCTATTAGATTTAGGTCTAGACTCCTTACTGAGACATTCTAACACATGTATTAAATACAGCTAATTTTGCTTTAATCTACAGCAGAGGTGTCCAAGTACAGTCCTCGAGAGCTGCCATTCTGCAAGTTCTAGATGCAAACCTTCTCCATCACACCTAGATGAAGTTCTAGTTAGCAGGTCTCCGTAGAGGTGAATGGATCCTGCTGAGGGACCTCAGCTGTGGATTTTATTAATGGATATCTGAGCAAAGAGACCTGAGAATCAATCCAAACCCACATTTTTACTAATTTGAGCATTTTATAACCTTTTCCTTCCACTTCACAGATATGCACTGCATTGTGTTTTCTCAATACATATAAAGCCAGTAAAAAACTCTGGAGTTTGTTGCTCGACATGTCAAAAATATGAAAAAGTTCAACTCTTTTGGAATGTCCTTTGCACAAGGCTCCTTTCATACTGCACATTGATATGCACACACACACATACCCACACGCACACATACACACACACACACACACACACCTGTTCTTCTGTTTCTGATGACAAAGAAGAATGGATGATCCGCCATGACCTGCTGGTTCAGCACCAGAGTCCTGGTCAAGGCAATCATTCCTGACAGAGAACAATGAGGGAACAGTTCAGTACCTGTTCTGCTTATCCACAGGAATCAGTGTCGTTTATATTAATTTCAGTGTATGGAAGTTATTCGTACTAAAGTAAAATGCAAAAAAAAAAAAAAAAAAAAAACCCTACCAGATCCAACAGCTCCTTCTGAACCTTCCTCCGTCACCTCCAGGTAAGCCTTCTGCACTGCCTTCCCAATGTACAGGTCCTTCCCATCTGCACAAGACACAGAAGTCACAACTGTCTTTTTAACACGCACATAGGAAGGCAATTAAGTTTTAATATAGACTATAAGTTGCATGTTTAGCTAAAGCATAAACACACAACAGTCTTGAGTGTTTATTAAACCAGCACTGACAAGCAGACAGACAGGCTGCATCAAGGGGCACCTTGTTTAAGACATTAAGTCAGAGGATACAGCCTAATTATTTCCACAGAGACTGGAAGTGGGCTAAGTGGCCTTCCTCTTATCTGCCTGACCTGTCCTCTGAGTACATGTGAAGCTGAAGCTGTGTGAATAGGGACGTGCACAAGTTGCTATTCTGGCTAAAGACTAGGCTTTGCAATGTAATCCCCTTTGCTCCACCTTATAGAAGATGGCTGATTTCAACAGCATAATTAATGTTATCAAAGCATAATAAACTAGAGGATTTACTCCATCATTTACTGTATATCAGGTTATATATCTGTTAACTTTGTGTATCTTTCTGGTGCCGATGTAAAATATCTCCACATACATCCCATATTTTTCTGTCGCTGTGTATCTGAGCTGCTCTTTGAGGATCTATTTTTGCTGCTTGATGTGACAGCTCCGAACTGCCCACTCACTGACAATTACTGTGGTTACCTTAAAAAAGTGTAGAACGGCACCTCTTGCTGCCAATACGCAGACTGCCGTTCATTTACCAGCTTTTGTCACGCCGTTTGTATCCACGTGATTATTATGAAAGTTCACTAGCCTTGTTTGAATTGTGTGTCATGCCTCACCTGACATGGCGGAGAGATCAGCATCATTGGTGAAGATTTTAGTAATTCCCAGGTCCTGCAGGATGGTTCTCAGATCAATCTTCTGCTCCACCTTAAACCTGACAGGGGATGTCAGTTAGTCAACGTAAAAGAGAAACAAGACGGTAACTCATAAAAGGGCCGCGGGAAAACTGATGATAAATTAGCATTAGACTGCAGTAATAAAAACACGATGTAGTTACAATGACTTTATTTAATAGACCTATAAAAAACTGTGAAGTAGGAGAAGAACACAGTGATTTGAGAAAGCATTTGCCTTACAGATTCCTTCTGTTTTTGTTTGGTTGTCACGCCGTTTTGTTCCAGATCGTCAAGCAAATATACAAATATAACCTCAGTTTGATTAACCACCTTTTCAAAAATGTATTTGTAAAACTAGTGGCATTTATTTGCAGTTTTAAGACAGGATTTGGGCAGAGAGAGAGAATAGAGGACGACATGGGAACTGAATCGGATACGGTAACATGGAGTATTAATAGTTCTTTTTGTTCTCTATTGTTCTCCAATAAACATCTAAGGCTGTCAAAGAATTACACAATTAAATGACTTTGACTAATATTTGTTGCAAAGAACGTTATTTAGGGTATGAGAGTGAACTGGGCTCAATGCATGCCACACCTTTAAGAAAAAAAAAAGAAAACAGTTTTTCTTTCCACATTGTGCTCGTCTGCCACGTGCATTTAATTGAGCTGAATAAAAATACAACACAATACATTATGATTTGTGACTGTAATGAGAAAAAAATGTACACCAGTGCATGTAAACATCGGAGAGAGTTCAGTAAAATGTTTGTGTTGTGTCTTAATGGATAATTTGATAAAACTTATAAACTATATGATTTTCATGAATAAAATGAAAAAAAGCATGACCATATAATTAACATTAATGATTTCTTAAGTCATGTTGCATACAGGTTAGCAGAAGGGCAGTAACGGTTACTTTATGACAACTTGTTTTAGTATATTCTATCAAAACGTCTTCACTTTCCATGGCTATAAAAGTTAAGTGTTCCATTTCCTATGAAAAAAAAATTGTTTTCATCTGCAGATAAAGTGAACAAAGAATTGCCTTTATAGAAGACAGGCTGACAGAGGAGGAAGTAGATCATAAAACCTAAGCGTTTCGCGCAGAGTAGCCTCAATCCATAAATGTGTTTTGGTGTTTATTAAACTAATGCATCAAGGGCAGAGTCATAACTTTCTGTCTTGTCTTGATGTGCATGTGTATGTTGTTTCTCACCTAGGCAGGTACACCTCCACCTTCTGTCGTTTAACGTTGTTTGCCCACTCCTCCAGCAGTGGTGCTTTGATGATGGGCTCCAGGGAAGCCAGAGGAACCTCCTGCCGGGGCAATACGATCATCATGGACATGTCCTCGCCCTCATAGGGCATCTCCAGGACTTGGTACACACCGCCAGCCTCCTGGGAGCCGTCACTGAATTCACCTGATCAAGAAGAGACCACAACAAGGCCACCGAGATGTAATGAAGTAAATGCTCAAATTTGGACTTTAGTTGTGGAGAAACAGCCGCAGAGGTGGTCATGCTGACACATATGGACTGACTGGTGTTTTGTAAAGTCATTTCTGAAGTGTTTTAATGAAAATCTAGTCACTTGAAAAGACTTAACAACGTATTCTTTGTTAAGTTGAAAAGAATTTAACAAAGAATACGTTAAGTTGCATCATATTTTGTGTTTAAAAGGAACAACCAAATCCTTTCCAAGGTATTTCCTGGCGCATCACCATTGTGACCTATACTGAAAGCCAGTAGAAAGTTAAGTAGAAGAAAAAAAGTGTCAGTAAAAGTTGTACGGGTAACATTGACACCTTTGGGTTAAGGTTAAAAGGATTGTGAAGAACACAGGGTGGACTGCAGCTGGAGTAAAAACCTGAAAAGCCGCCAGAAACTGATGAACAGGGTACATGATACTACTGATACACAAGCTTTGGTGTGAATTGCGGGGTATTAACAACATTAGTACAATTAATCAAAAATTTTAAAAAAAAGGTCAGGATCTCAAGATTTGATCATGAAATATTTATTCGCAGCTCGCCGTCTTGCCCATTACTACAGTCTTGTTGCGAATTTCAGGGCCAATCAACCAATGCAGTTTGCTGCCAAAGAAATGGCTTCTACGCAACACCCAGCTAGATCTGGCTTGTACCGCCGCTGAGGTGGTTCCAAAACACAGGAACCACGCAGGTGATTAGGGAAGAACTGGTTAAGGTGGTTTTATTTAGCCACTGTGATTGTTCTGCAAAATGAGACGGACAAAATGTGGTCTTCTCCACAAGGACCTATTCCTGTTTACAGCTCTCACACACACAGTCGACACATTCACACCCTCTGGACTCATCAGAGGAAAACAGATTAGGGATCCCTCTCGTTCATGAGTGTGTATGCATGTATATGTATCTGTGCGTGTGTATGCGTGTGTGTGTGTGTGTGTGTGTGTGTGTGTGTGTGTGCGTGTGTGTGTGTGTGTGAACGCTCTGCCCACACATGCAGATGTCACCAAAATAACTCAAATGCACCAATTTTAGTTGCAGCTTAACAACATGATGCAACTGTTTTTGTCAGTACAGAAGGCACAAAGGAGAGTGAGACACTGAGAGGAAACAGTGAAATATTTCATATTTTAGGAGAACAACTTACAAATGTGGGCAAATTCACTGAGCTGAGAAAAAATGTCTTTCACTCTTCTAACGCTAAATATCAATATTTTAGACCTTTAGTGCGATTTACTTACTGTACAGTGAATTTCGCTGTAAGCGGAGTAAAGTAACATTTCTAAATAAAGATACACTGGTCCCAGTTCTGCACACATGGCCATGCAGACTCATGCCTACCATAGTAAAAGTCTCCCTGCTGGTACATCATCAGGGTCTGAACCTCCGAGCCATCATCTCTGCTGAAGGAAAAGGTTCTGGTGTTCTCTGGCCTGAACTGGTTTTTCCAGGATCCTCGGAAATAGACGGCGTTCACCAGAGTGAGACGGGTGACGCTGCTGAAATCCTCGGCTGACAGCAGTGAACGAATCTTGCCTGCAGGGAACAAAATTTTAACTGAATTATGTTCCCAATCTGGATCATTTTCCTAAAGAAGGTTTAGGAATCATGACAAAGAATTATGAAGCATTAGTGCACTTAGGCTTCACACAGCTTGGTATCTTCTAGTTAAAGTAAAAAAATGTAAACATTATAAATGCACCTCACCTGCTGTATTTCCCCCCTTTTGACTATTGGTCTCACTTACTCTCTGTGTGATTCTCCACCCAGTTGTTGATCTGTTCGGCGACCACCGAAGATTCGCTGAAATCCACAGTTTCCACTTCGGCCTGAAAGTATTTCTTCATCAGGTGCAGAAAGTCCGGGTTAAAGCTGATGCCTTCCTGCAGGAAGAGGCTGTTTGCAAACCGGATCACGTAGTGGGCGTCATCATCGGAGAGCGCCTCTGTCAAGTTCTGGAGCAAGGAGAACTCCACGCCTACATGGACAACAGCAGACACACACACACTCATTCAACCTGTCCCTGCGTATGTATCCTGTACACACATTTAGTACATGTTTACACACTTTTGCCATGTCAAAGTCATACAGGTTAAATTGAGGATTCTTGACTTTTCCCTTTTGAGTAATATTTTGAAATATTAGCCGCATATTTTTTTTATCTAGTACTCAAAAATGTAATTTACAAAAACTATAAAAAGTTAAGTGTTTCAGAGCACAACAGCAGACACACACACATAACTGATTTTCTATACATTTCTACATAAAAAAAAAAAAAACTTAATTATTTTCCAAATTTTAAAAATGAACTATTTATTAAGTGGACAATTTGAATCTGCAGGTACTGTAAACCACAACACCTGAACTGACAACCATACAGGACAATAGTGCATTATTCTCTCAGCCTGAGTGTGATGCTTGGGAAGTTTATCTCACCAGGCAGTAAGTGACTGAATCCCACAGCCTCTCGAATCTCCTCCAGCGAAGCCCCCCGGGCTCCCAGCTCCACCATGCCGAGGGCAACAGACACACTCAGTGGAGAAAAAATGATGTTTTCCTGACCCCCTGCCGCCTGCAGCCGGTGGTACAGCCTGACCGAAAACTCCGAAGTGGTGTCCTCTGGAACGTCCGCCGCCCAGCAACCGTAGCCCGGCAACAGGATGGAGAGCAGGAAGGGGAAAAGCAGAATCGAAACCTCCAGAACCAACATCTCAGCGCAGACCACAGGAGAGCTGGTCAAAGGAGAAATAAATAAAAGGAAAGCAAAATAAGATAAGCAATAATATAAGGACAGGGGAATACAGAGGAGGATGAAAGCTGTGGAGATTGATAGATAGATGAGTTATAGGAAAAGAAGTGATTTGGAGGGGGATGTGTACCCAACAAAATGTGACAGGAAGGCAAGCAGATGAACATGATGAGAGGAAATGATTTGTGGAGGGGACGGAGTGATGAGTAGAGAGAAGAGGATTACAGGGAAGATAAAGAGGTGAAGGTGTAGAGACAAGAGGATAGAAAAAAGAAGAAAAATTATAAAACAGATGGAGGACAAGAAGGTTTGGGAGAAGTGACAGAGAAGAAAAAGACAGCAGGAATGTGAAATAACAAAGAATATCAAGATCAACAGCAAAACGAGAAATGTCTGTCAATTGTTCTGACATTTTAAGTCTTACAGGAAGGAAAAACCAAAGTAAGCAAACAACTTTTTATTTAAAAAAAAGACTATTCCTGATAATGACACCGTTAAATTCCATTAAACTGAAACAATGAACTAAGGGACATTTTTAAAAAGAAAGCCACCCAGTTTGCAAATTGTTTTGGCTTTCAATTTTAAAAAAATATATATATATCATAATTGGTTATGTTAAGACAAGTACTTTGTGTTGTACCTATCATTTTCTAGAGATTTTAAAAATAAGATTTTAATCTGCCAGTAATAAGTTTGACCTTGTTAAAAATCAAAAGTGTCCATCTGTATCAACGATCTGGTCTATCTGATGGTCCCCGGGGGGGATGTTGGACACTCTCGCCTTTAAAGCAAGATAAGCTGTCAGAGCTGCACTGGTAGTTTGTTGATGGCGAAGGGATGTAAACAGAGTAATAAATGAGGTGTATGCTAATATGTGAGCATATGTGGATTAGAGAAAAATATACAAGTTCAAACCTAAGCACTGATTGTTTTTAAAAATCATAAATGTCGTCTGCATTTTCCCAACTCATTCTCCCAGTCATTCAAGTTTTATTTGTCCACCCCTGCCTTTATTCTCTCTACTTCCCTACCTTCTTTGACTCTTTACCTTCCTGCACCTAAAAGAGATTACAGATAGACACTGTGCTGTTTTTCTAGTACTGTTGTTGCCAAGCAACATTGTTTTTTTGCTGGCCAAATGGAGAAACAGAGAGTTAGGGATATAAGGCCGAAAAACGTGCGGGAAGCTGTTGAATTCAGACAGTGATAAAGAGGTAACAGATTGTTTTGTTGTCGTTTTTTTTCCGCTGCGCCGCTGGCATCAGAGATGCAATTAGCGGCCCCAAGAATGGCTGGAATCTGCTGGCTAATGCTATGTGTGTGAGATGGCAGGTGACAGTGCTGTCAACAACAGAAACAATGGATATCGGCCAGAAAAATGGGCGCCCCATCCCGCTGTGTCCTGTTCTTTCCTCTGAGCCAGTCCATCTGACAGCAAAGCAGTATCCAGTTCTAGCATAGTTCTGTCCTTCTGGCGAGAAAAACCTTGAAATTCATTAACAAGCACTGTAGGATTAACTAAAGCCTGATATGGATTAATCTTCCTCATAGACTTCGACTGTTCTCCAAAAACCCATCGGGTTTCATGCCACGGTTCAGACTGATTATTATTTCGACTCCAGCACTGCCTGCAGTGCTACTAATGTTAATACTCGGGAGAGAGCACGTTATCTGTGGCCAACAGTAGTTTGAAACAACAACTACATTTCTCAGTCAGGATAGTTTCAGTAAAGACAAGTGTTGACGGTGAATGGACCAAGTTAAAGAGAGAAACAAAGTCTTCTCAGGGAATTTGCTGCTGCATATGAACAGAGGAGTCAAAAGCGTGACAATCCATTTTGCATTTTACAGTCTGCTGCAGTAGAACCCCCTTTCACCCTTGTGCAGTGAACATATGTATATGAAATTGTCAGTGCTCTACTTGAATGGCCCAAAAGATTACAGCAAACTGGTTTTTATGAGGGAATGTCCGGCTGGATTAACTGTTGCTGAAATCAGCCAAAGCATGATTCTCCTTTACAAAATGAAATAGCCAAGCTACCATCTAAACAAAACCAGAACTCTTCTGGGTTTGATTGAGGGGTTTTGGTCAAGGTGCATATTATGAAAAGATTTAAATAACATGATTTCTTGTATAATCATCACTATAAGTCCAAATCACCATGAGACTGACTTCTCTAGAACAAAAAAACATTTTCGAACGTCATAATTGAAGTCAAAAGAGAACTTAATCCTAGAGAAAATTTAAGAGGTCTCCAGAAAAGGTTAAAAGATCTCACAATAATCTGACAGACTTAGGCAAATCTTGTCAGATAAAAATGAAGGATGCTGAGAAGACTGAATAGTGAAATTAAATCATAAGGTGTTTCAATAAAGTCGTAGCTTATTAGTTTTGTGTGCACCGTATGAATGCAGATTCACTTTTATATCTCCTCCTCTAACAGTTGGATCGACAATCTTGAAATGATTTCATGGCCTAATTTATTTACGCGACAAAAACCTAATGCAGCTGCCACCGACGCCACACAGGAAACCGTTCCCACNTANTCTTGTTCATCCCGTGTTGCCCGGAAAAAGAAGCCGCCCCAGAGGGAAGGGGCAGCTGGCGCACATGTAAATGCAGGTAATGTTTCTGACCTTCTGAGTTGTGGGAGCTGAACTTTTTAAAAGACTGGCACTCCTATGTTTCTGTAAGAAAAGTCTGAGCAACAAAGCTCCGGCAGGGAGAGCAGTCACCGTGTGTGGCAGTGTGAAAGCATGAGAGGATAACAGCTCCATGGGTGGCTGGCTTTTACTTGAAATGGTGACACCGTTCCGACCTTTGGAGTTGCGGTGCTCCATCTGTCAGCTGGTCCCCACGCTTTGCCAGCTTGGTCATTGATGAGCCGGAGCACAACTTTAGCTTTGGTCTACTCAGGTGGATTTTCCCACAATACCTTAAAAAGGGAAGCGGCTAATAGCGAGCCATAAATGCTCCCCCGCGACTAAAAGGACAGAACACGTCAGGAGATCTCCCGTGGTTTGAGTTACAGGAGTTTAATCCTGACAAGTAAATTCCATGCAATTAAACTCTCTGGCCTTTAAAAGCTGCCTTTAATCTCTCCGTGTAATCCTAATTCTCAGACAGAATAGATCGGTGGTTGACATTTTTGCAAATCAAAACGTGATGTGTTCACGTACGTAATCCTTACTGCCATTTAAACTCGACACCTTTCAACAGCATGCCTGGAAGACCAGGGGAATTTACTAAACATCCTCTCTTCGTGATTCAGATCCGCAAGCGCGCGGAAGCACACGCACGCCACCCCAGGTGCTTACGCAGATTTTCAAATCGAGATTGCCAAAGGCAACTGCAAGTGATGGGCATTTTTCATTTCGACCAAGCTGATGGAGAGACATTTTTCTTTCACCCTTTGAATATATCTCACTCCTTCAAGGTAGGTAGATAAACCCCTTTCTCTTTTCACACTCCACTAAGCAATTTCTGCCACCAATAACATCTCTCTTTGGAAGATCTCTGCACATCAGTTCCAGTCACTTAATGTCTCCCCTCTGTAATACACACACACAAGATTAACAGTCATGACTGCACTGCAGTTTCAGGAAGAAAAAAAAGACAAACCTGCCTGTGCCTTCTCCTTTCCTCTCTCTGAAAATGAGTAGATGCAGCAGACTATTTTATATATTTTTTATTTATTTATGGGGTTTAACGCTTTCAAAGTGCTGAGGCCTAGACAAATTCTGTGAAAATGCTAACATCCTATTTCATCAAGGCCTTTTCCTCTGGGAATAAGCTGCGGAGAGTGATGTCCATGATTATGTCTGGCACAGAAAAACCTTGGATTCCTGCAGTGTGTCTGTAGAAAATGGCAGGGTAATCTTGGCATGACTTCACTTTGAATATGTATAACTTATGAAGGGCTTTGCAGAACGGAGATAATGGATGCTGATTATCATTCATGAGTTTTCCTTAGAGGTGCCACTGGGGCAGCTTTCAGTTTCAACTTGAACTGAGGCAAACGCGGGAAGACGCATGCATGGGCACACTAAAAGTGATTAAACTTACATTAAACTGCCATCATTAATGTTAAATCACTCCTGCAGTGAAGCTCTCTGATTTCAGCTCTTTATGCAGTGAAAATGCATTAAAAACTCTCGACTCGTTGCAACTCGTTGATGTGCAATTTATGTCTTGAAATGGAGCTTCATCGCCATGCTAATTTCGCACAGCATTTCTTCGATCTTTAGCCATATAAAGTTATTATTTCATAAAATTGTGTAAGTTAGTTCCAGAGCAGAACCTGAACCATCCTACCTGGCGGCTTTGCTGACATGAAACCCGAACAGATTAAAACTTTTACCTACTTTGCGGTCAGTGGAAGACAAAGCAGTGGATGAAGATCCAAATAAGGAGAATCCAATCCGTCAATCAAACTGTCTGTCAGGCTCAAACCTTTTGATATGACAGCATAACTCATTTTATGGAAGAAACTGAATTTTTACCTTTCCAAGTTCAGTAGTCAACACTTCAACCTTCGACTTTTATTTTAACTGTGGGCCAAAAATGAAGAGAAGACAGTAAATATGATGAAATGTCTTCCACATTGCCTTTCTGCTCATAACAGTAATAACAATATCTTGATTAAAATAGACTCCTGATTGTTTAGTTCATGTTAACTCTAAATATATGCAAATTTATTGACTGACATAAACTCAAAATAATCCCACTGCAGAGCTCTATCTTTACATATCTTTAGATTATATATCCTTATTTAGATTTAACTGGTCCTGGACTTTATTTTTTATTTATTTATTGAGTTCTGTTACATGGAATAGGAAAAGTCTCGTCAAAATCAGCTACTTTAAATGTTTACAGTTAAATTCCTACATGCTAACCAAATCATGATCATGCAGGGATATGAAAAGTGTGTATAAAAAAATGGACGGATGAGAGCATGAAAATTTCCTGAGGAATCAGCTTGGGAAATATTCACTGTGCTCTCCATGCAGGGCGAAATTAATCACAGCTACATCTAAAAGAAGAAAGTTGAATGAGGAGTAAACCGAGCATACACAAAGAACAAATAAACCAGTTTAACCGCTTTGGATTTCTAGCAAAAAGAAAAGACCTAAATAATAACAAGTAGTCAAGGGAGTAGGTGGAGACGGGGAGTCCGCCGAGGAGCTGAAAATGAGCAGCTTCCTCACCGATACCTGTTTTTATTTAGCAACGATAATATCTAACAACCCAATTTCTTTGTCATGCACCAACACTCTACACCAAGGTAAACTTAACAGCGCCCTTTTTCTGTCTTCCCACACGTCGCATCAGCAATGTACACACACACGAACGCATACACTAACAGCTCAGCTGCTCTGGGAGCAAAGTGAGAAGCTCTGAGCTGTAATTATATCAGCTTGTATTTGGGGTCAGTGTGAAAAGCAAAAAGACCAGAGGCTTTGTCAAGCAAAAAGGAGACTTTTTGCTTCCAGGATCCAGGAAGGGGAATTGTCACTGAGTGCTGAGAGAAAATAAGACATGTTAGTATGTATTTGTATGAGCATTATTAAGAGGAAATATAGATAATATAAGCAGGAGGCCAAATGAGATGCCAAGTGTGGAGAGAAGAGATCGCAAAGATCGCAGGCTTGTACAAATAAACTGTAACAGTTTTAGCTTCTGTAGGCTACAAGGCATTTTAAGGAAGGAGGAGAAAATCCCCCTGTTTATATTTCTAGTCAAGGGAGCAGGAGAAATTTAGGCAAAAACTATTTTAGCAGTACATTTAGCATGTATTGACTTACATCACAGCGATGGAACTAACACATTTTGCCATATTTTGATAAAATTTTATCCCAATTTTAAGACAGAACAACATGAAGTAGTACATAATTGTTAAGTGGCAGAAAAAGCATATATATATATATATATATATATATATATATATATATATATATATATATATATATATATATATATATATATATTACAAGAAAGGACCTTTTTCGTCCTTTCTTGTGTAATTTAATCTCAACATAAAACTCAAGAGGTCTGCTGAGAACAAGCAAAAGAATGAAGAGCAAGGAACAGGAGATGCTTAAAGCAGTTAGATTATAAAACGTCCCTTGTCTTGAACAATTCAAAGACTGTTGTTCAACCAATAATCTGTGCATTTTACACAACTGCACCCTCCCTCCAATACATGACAGGTAGGAGAGCGTGAATAAGGACCAGACAGTTACGTTTTAGAGGTTGGAATTGTCCAGATCTAAAACTAAAAAACTGAAAAGTGTTCACTTATGCTCTCTCAGTCTGACGGAGCTTGAACTTCTTCCCAAAGAAATATTCTCAAGATGTTCAACGCTTGTAGAAAAATACCCTCAACAACTTCCAGCTGCAGCAAAAGGTGATATCACTTTATATTGGCTCACAGAGTTCAAATATAGATACACACCACACTTTTCAGGTTTTTTATTTATGTGACACTTATGTGACATTTTCTTCCCAGTTATGCGTTACTGTGAGGTGGTGTATCAAAAAGTCTCAGTATATTGTAACCAGTGGTTCTGATGTAAGAAAATGCAAAGAGGATCAAACAGATTTAATCCGTTTAATAACCAGCGCTGTTCAGGCGTCTTTAGAGCAGTAAGTGTACATCTTTGCAGAAAAGAATGATCAATGATCATTATTCCATGACCAATCTACTTTCAACATCCCATCTGTTTTCCACACAGAAATCTGTTTCTGTTCGTTTCATCACCTCCACTCTGGATTCAGCTGCCAGCTAAAACTCTATTAGTCACTATATTGATTTTAAGGAACATTTCACTGTGTGAACAAGTGTGTTCCATCCATCCATCCATCCATCCATCCATCCATCCATACATCCATCCATCCATCCATCCATCCATCCATCCATCCGCAATGTGGCAAAATAAAGAATGTAAGAATTTTCCTACATTACAAAGCATATCTGCAACAAAAAAATGTATTAAGATGAAGAAACATTATAAAACTGCTCTCTGTGTGACAGTGTGACAGTCTGAGTCAATCAAAATGTAATAATACACTGAGATATTTCAAGTATTCTCCTCCCCAGACTGTTTGCCTTCCACAAGATGTATTTTAATTCAACAGGTAATCAATAACAACATTTAGGTGAACTGCCCTGTTACTTACTAACATACTTCTTCAGTTTTAAACAATTTCACACTTGATTAAATAATTTCTATATTCCGATTTTATAACTACGTGGATCATCATCCAGTTGCTAAAACATTAGTGAACAAACAGCATCATGAAGACCAAGGGACAACACAAAAAGATAAGAGATGAAGTTGTGGAGTTGCTTAAAGTAGCTTTAGATCCTAACACATTATCCCCCAGCTTTCAACATCTGCACTGTTCAAAGCAAAACTGCACACTGACCAAGACATAGTTACCATTTTCTTCATTTCTTTGTGTTGTTTTAAATAATAGTTAGCCAAATTATGGCTATTATATATGGATTATGATTTTCTTGTTGTTATAACCCTATTCTGTAACAAACGCAAAATCAGTTCAATGAAAAAAAAAAAAAACTACAAAAAAAATTTTTTTTGTTGTGCTCTGCTGTATTTAAGAAGAGGAGAAAAGCACAGGAGGATTGGTTCTGTCTCGAGGAAAGTCTTAATATACAGTGTGGGATGAACAACTGCACTAGTTATTAGTGCAGTTTTTCTGCACAGGTTTCTGAGCAGAAAAACTAACAGAAACACATCAGTAAACCCTGCAAACACACACGCATAATTCTGAAGGACGATCGCAGCTCCTGGATGTGAGGTATGTTGCTTTTCCCTTCCCTGCCTGTTTGGTTTCGCTTGGATGATTCGAAAGACATTTAATTATTGAAATGCAATTAAGGCATTAATGCTCCGTGGGAATAGGCAGCGCAAACACACACACACGCACGCATGCACACACACATCATAGAAAAGCAGGGATGAACAGCAGGGATTAAGTAGAGATTCAGACAAATATGGTTTTAATTCGATGGGATAAGGATTTAAACAGATACTCGTTTTGTATATAAAATGAACTAGACCTGAATTAGGACATTATCTGAGATGACAGAGATAAAGAGATTAGAAGTGGATTGAGACCATGAGGCAGGACAGACGTGAGTACTATGTTATTAACAGAAGATGCAAAATCATATGAATTCAACTCAGAATATGCTTAAATTGAATACATTTTATTAAACGTCTTACTTTTCCAAATTATTACTTGAAATGTCTTTTCATCAACACCTATCAAAGGTCTGTCTCATTAAGAAGTCACATCTGTGGGATCAGCTCATAACACAGAAAGCCTTTTTAGGACATGAAATACCTGCATGAAAAGGGGTAAAAAACAAACAAACAAAAACAAAAAACAAGAGTATGAACTGGTGTGTATGTGTTTGGGTGGGGATAAGGTGCATGATCAGGCTGCTGTGCAATGCGTCTCGCTAAATTACACATATTTGCTCAATCCTCCTTTGGCTGCATTTCAAGGACAAGAACCCCACGGCATCCAGTGAGATGATTTGAATGGTTAAAACAACAGGAGGAGAAGCAGTGCATCGCGACAGAAAAATCTAACAGTCCTGGGTGGTGGACACATGGTCAGTGTTAATCAGCGTTTGCCTTAGTGCGTCCCAGATGATCAAACAGCCCACACATGTTGATTACGCCATTCTAATCCCTTCATTCAATGCCATCAAATGCCGACACCTTCACAAAAAGTCAACCTTGGGATAAACTCACATGATATATATATATATATATATATATATATATATATATATATATATATATATATATATATATATATATATATATATATATATATTTATAAATTATTTTTCCATGTTGCAAAAGCTCCAAAGCTGTGATACTGACTTGTGTCTTAAATAAATTGCCGGCGGCAATCTGAACCAGAACCACCAGAATGGGAAGCATAAAGCGGCTCTTACCGTCAAAGGGCGTAAGGTAAAGCAGGATGGATGGATAACTGAGGTCTCTGCTGCTCTCATCCGCAGCTCACAGCTTGTTAATTTGCCGCAGACTCCGCCCCCTTGTCACCGATTGGTCCACAGCCACTCAACCAAAGAGTACAGACGTGGAGCGAAATGAATCCCTACTACATCTTTCCTGAATTGCAAATGCCTCCTTCACACTTTGCCTTATGTTTAAATTAGGAATCGATTAGTGGTTTTGCTAATGTATTTAGTTATGTGATCCGCTCCTTTCTGGTCAAACGCGACACTGGTATTGAGATCATGTGAGTAAAGTCGAGTCTGTTTGGTTTTTCTTGCCTGGGAGTATTTTAATAAAATAAAAAGGAGAGAGGGAAAGGATAAGCTCTTGAGATTGAAAGTCTTATTTCTGATCTGAAAAGTCCTAATTCTGACTTTTAAAATGATCATTCTGTGTTTCAAAGGTAACAGTTATACGTTTTGAAACCATTAAATATAATAATGGCATTCAATGTCAGAACGAAGAGGTGACATCATTTTGACTCTCAATAAAAACAATTTTCTAACTCCTAATTTTTACCTTTCAAATTTACTTAGGACAAAAAATGGCTATTAGTTATAACATTTATTAGTATTTATTTGCAATTCATAAATTCAAAAATTAAAGTTATATATCTGGAAAAAAAATAAAGGTTGTAAACTACTTTGTGTGCAAAAGTATTAATCTGATAAGAAATGGAAGGAGCGTGACAACTAAAAAGTTTACTACAGAATTTATCGCTTTGTTTGTAGGAGCCGTATTAGATTTTAAGCTCAGGGTTGGTGATATATTGTTGACTATTCCACAAGGCAGTCCTATTTCACAGTCTTTGTTTATTTCTCCAAAATGGAGCTTTAAAAATTTTATGTTGGAAAGCACAATTAAACTTCAATCACTCATGCTGTTTAAAAGGTATTCATGGAAAAATACAGAATAGGAAAATTTCAGTTCCTGTTTGTTTTGCTCTAATATTGTCAGATCAGTGGTAGGGAAAGGCTCAGTATTTCCTGAGGTGGTTTGAGAACCACTGAGCTGAAAAACAGTGGATCTCAAAAGTTTGCATGTGCTTTCTTTTTTTAATGCAAAACATTTAATTTTTTTAAAGAAAAAAAATCTTATTATTAAACAATCTGCACTTTTTTGAACTTCTTTTTATTCTCTGCAAAAATATATCACATTTTCTCTGGAGTATATGTTTTTACTTTTAAGTGGCTGGTGTAAATTTAGACTATGCCACACTGTGTCACTGTTGGTTGTAATTTAATAAGAACAGAAATAGTGAGGTGAGTCTGTGTCACTTCATAGATAAAAAGAAGAGCACAGTGGGAAAGAGTCCAACACAACTTTATAAAGACTGCTGTTTTGGCTGGACACAGCTAGCGCAATCGGACTAAGCATGCAATTTACCCATAATCCATTGCATTGTAAACAATGTGGCGACGTCCGTGTGACAATATTTTATTAAAATTTGTAAAAGAAGAGCGCAGCGGGAAAGAGCCAAACACAACTTTATTTTTTATTATGTAGTTTATTTATTACTTTAACTTTATGTTTACATCTAAAGTAAATATTTTAGATGTGAAAAATACCGTTACAACTGATCTTGAATCCCTTTATAAGGTTCTCTGTTGTGTAACTGATTGATTGCTTGAGCTTGTGAACGTTTTATGCATTACTTTTTGGAGTTAAACTGTTACACTTAGGGATGCACAGTGGCACAGATGTTAGCACAAATAGAGACTTTTACATTGACTTTGCATGTTATCCTGGTTCATGCATAGGTTCTTGCAAGTTTTTAACTCAAATTGTTGATATAGCTTATGACATGATTGATTTTTTGCATATTTCTCCTCTTTCACAATAGTTTTTTTTGTTGTTGTTCTTTTTATATTATTTCATTCACATCTTGTTTTTATCAACATCATATTTTATGCTTTTGAGTCAAAATCCCGGGGACAATCACTCCACAAGGGCCATTGGTTAGAGCAGCATGACCAGCAAAAACAGAGGAGGGGACTTGCATCAAAAGATCGATACCAGTTTAAATTTGAAAAACATTGCTAACAAGCTAATTGAACAAAATTCATATCCTTTCAGGGCAACTGGTCCAAGTGTTTAATGCTAAAAACTGAAAGATAAAATGTAATGAAACCTGTCAAGACAAATTGATAGAGCAAAATCTGATAGATCTAACACCTGTCTCCTTCATATCTGATAGTTGTCAGGATGAGATAAGCTGTCAAGCCTGATTTCAGGGACTAAGGCACATATTCTAAGAATACACTAAATATCTTAAATATTGAATTGACCTTAACAGCCGCCTCGCTCCGATTGGCATTTCCCTCTTTGCAGTGGAGGACAGTTGTTTACACCCCATGCAATTTCCGATAAGCATTTTAGTGTCAAACTGGTGCATTACGTAAACATTAGCGATCAGCTAACATTTAAAACCTCAGTCCAGCCATCCAGGAAGCAATAGTTTTCCAACAACAGAGAGCCTAGATCCTCTGTACAAAGCAAAGTGTAATACAAAGGGGCTGGTTTTCATCAGGCTCGTGAAAAGGTGGTAAAAGAGGTTGAAATGAATAACATATGTTTAACAGATCAGAGAGAATTTATTAGATTGAACGAACATTTTGGATCATTTTCTAGTATTAATTTTCTTAATACTAGAAAATTCTTTTGACCCACACAAGGATTATGATTGGATGGTTTATTTGCTGTGATATCTGTCTTAGATTTAAAACCAGTTTATCCATGTACAGATGAACCCTGACTCACACAATATGATATAACAGATGGAAAGACCTGGCCTTATTAAGGGCCTGCATGAACGCATGAACTTCTTTTGGTAATTTTCATCACACTGACACAGACAGAAACTACCCATGTGATTTTTAAGCTTTGATGAGGCACACTTGATATAACTTGACAACAGAACCTGTAATTTAGGTCTAATTGATATGTGCTAACTGGTAGGCCCTTCCACAAAACTTTCAGTAATTTCCTAGCAAACAAAATAAAAGTAAGCAAAAGGAATATCGACAAAACTAAACATCAATCTAACAATTACATGGTGATGATGAAAAGAGCAAGGTACAAAGAAGCAAATGAGCTCATGAGTAATTATGTAAATTATTTTTTTTTTTTGTACGTTAAAGTAATTTCTCAGGTGGTAAATAACCGAAGGAAAACTACATGCACATGCTAAGCCTGTTTTTGGTGAGTACAGAGTTACAACATCAAGACCTTCCTCCGTCTCTGATTGGTTGCTTTTGGTCGGGAGCGGTGCATTTCCTCAGACTGCAACAGGAGCTCAGGAAGGAGGTGGAGGAGATCAATCTTTTGTCTCATAGCATACTCTCACGACAAGGTAACAGTTTTAACAAATATGTAAAAAAAACGTATTCTTCATGATATACTGCAGCTTTATGTATATGGTGTTTGTATGTGTACGTTGTATGTGGTGTTTTTATTCTAACACTTTGAATTTTTGCAAAGTGCTATAAAGTTTATCATTGTTAATGTTAAGTAGTAGTCAAGGACTGCAAGCTGTGGATAATGCCAGTTGGAGTAGGAGTGAGGAGGAGGAGGAGGAGACATAAGAGAAGTATGAGAAAGGAGCAGGAACCACTAAAAACCTGCCAGACATGATTCATAAGAGTAGGTTGGTATTATATCTTCCCTCTGTATTGTATTAACAGGGGTTAAGCACAGCCCACATATGGAGGCCTTCGTACTCGACCAGGCTGTCGTAGGTTTGATTCCCGGCCTGGTGACCTTTGAGACATGTCTTTCCCCTTCTTTTATTACCCACTTTCCTGTCAATTCACTGTGAAATAAAAGCCACTACCGCCAATAAAACCTTAAAAAAAAGAGAATTTGGTCCAAACCTCTGATTTCTGACATCTGACACGCTAAAAATTATTAATTCCCCTTCAAACATATTTAATTCTTTCTCCTGACAGATTTTTAAATTAATTTCATTCAGAGTGACTCTTCTGCATACTTAGGTGATGATAGATGTTGATTTTAAACATGTCCAGGACCGTGGACAAGGTGCATTTAGGTACAATCTATCTATTTCATCATAAATATGAAGACTTACTCTGAATAAAACTAATTTACCAGATCTGTCAAGAACTGAGAACTTTGAAATCAAAATACCAGCTCAGCAGGATCAATCGTGTGCGTCTCACATGGTTGAAAAGCACCATGTGAGTTTGAATTAACTCACGTTGAGTTCATTCGAATTAATTAGTTTGAATTGATGCTTAATTCTATTTTCCTTATTGTTTGTAAATGGTCTTGACAGACTACTGTCTAGGTTGCTCTTCTTTGTCTTTGTGTCCCTGCCAGCTTTGTGAGTCAATATGTGCATGCTTTGTTTGCTCAAATAATTTTCGGCTAGTTCACTTTTGAATTAAATTTACTTCTTCTATCGGCATTTTAGTTATATTTTGAACTTTTTTGAGTGAAATAAACTGGGAATTTATAATTATTTGTCTTCTCAGTTTCTGAAGTACAGTATAAACATGAAGAAGTTAGTTTTTCAAAGAGAATTTGAGGGATGTACACAGATATTCAGCCTTTTTACTCCGATATTAAATACAATCCAGTGCAACTCATTTGCTTAAGAAGGCATGAGAAAATAGACTCCATCTGTGTGATTTAATCACGGTATGAGCAGTCAGGAAACAAATTGTGGAGAAATTTACAACAAGAAGTTTGAGTCATAAATCAGCAGGTCCATCCCAGGCATCTGGCATGTCACTCAGCACTAAGGAAGAAGTTGCCCAATCTACTTAAAGTAGGCCAAATATGGCGAGTATTAATCAGAGCAACCGCCAGGAGGTCCTGGTGGAACTGCAGAGATTCACATTTCAAATGTGAGAATCTGTTGACAGAGCAACTATCAACTGTGGCTTGAACATTTCCTGAAGAAAACTACTGATGAAAAAAGCCACGAGACGTTCAAGTTTGTTTGTCAAAAATTGTACGGTTACATGGCAAACGTGGAAGAAGATGTTGTGGTTTGATAAGAGCAAAATGAAACCGATACT